ACCAGGGTCCCTCCGACCCTCCAGCCTGTCTCCTTGGTAGGCATTGTTAGAACAAATTTATTTCATATTATTTTCTCCAACAAAACTTAAAGGAATGGCAAGTGGTATTATCAGAAAACAAATCAGTGAGTCATTTGTGATGATTTGTTGCAATATGATTTTAACCTATATAAATATAGCACTGTAGCACTGTGGTCCCATTGTTCATCGATTTGCTCGAGCGGGCACCAGTTATGTCTCCATTGTGAGACTTGTTGTACTGTTTTTGGCATATTGAATATGCCATGGGGAGCTTGTCAGGCTCTGCCGTGTGGGAACCTATATAAATATAGGCATCACGAATCACGACGAATCACGACCATCCTGTTATTCGTCGATTGCCTCGAGCAGGCCCCAGTAACGTCTCCTTCATCTTAGCCCTGAGATTTTTAAGAAAGTGCTATATTCAAGGCTCTTTAGGAGAATGAGACCCATCATTGTTACTGGTATTTGGCATATTGGGTACGCCAGGGGGAGTTTGCCAGACTCTGCTGTGTGGGCAGGTTACATGCGGTAGCCTGCCAGTTTGTCCAAAGTAGGAATGAGATAATAAGATGTCATAATAAGATGTCAGTTGTGCACCTGGCTTTGGAATGTGGACCCAGCTAGTACTGGAATTCGGAGGATCTGGGTGGAGGATGCTCAGCCCCGATCAGAGTAGGCTTGGAGATCTCAGCCCCGGGACCCGCTTGCCTTTGTTCCTCTGTGAACACATTTAGTATATGTGTTCGCTTCGGCAGCACATATACTAAAATTGGAACGATACAGAGAAGATTAGCATGGCCCCTGCGCAAGGATGACACGCAAATATAGACATTAATATCATTAATACAACATAATATATGTATAATATACGGCTATTTTCATTTACATTGCTAAGCTTTCAACTCTGGCATCTAAACTATTTTGCCAAAGTGATAGTGTGTTACATAGCGTGCTTGCCTTGCATGTAACTGACCTGAGTTTGATACATGTCATCTCATATGGTCCCAAGAGCCTGCCAGAGTGATTCCTAAGTTAGAGCCAGGAGTCAGTCCTGAGCACTACTGGATATGGTCCCAAAACAAAACAAAAGATCACATTAAAATTTATTTTGAACTTGGATCTTATTGTGGCAATTATCATGTCTTCCCTATCATAAATAAAGGTTTATGTTTTTTTAATAAAAACTCTGGCTAATACAGTTTAGGCTTTCCATAAAATAGGAAAAACCTACATATGTAAAATTTAGTAAGAGTGATCCAGCCCAAATCTTTGCATTGTGTATCTTGTCTTGTTTAATGTTGTACTTTGGTGCCTAGTACACTACTAGCCATGGGGTAGCATGTAACATTTACTGAAGAACAAAATAAGCCATGTGACTTCTAGATTTCAGTTCTGACTGGTAAGTACACAGCAAAAGTCTTTCTACCCAATCAAAAGTCTCTGATTTTGGAGTTGTGTGGGTAATGGGTTTGGTCTGGACACTGAATTAAGGGATATAGTGTAGGACTGGAAATTCATTAGTTTCATGCTGTACTTGAAAGATGAATTCTGTTGTATTACCACTTAGATGGATGTTAATAAATTATAGGGATGATTTAAAATATATATTTCATCATTGTTATTTTAATCCTATGTTTGACTAGAGGATAAAGAATGCAGGTTACTCTTTTTGCTATTAGCCATGTATCTTATTAAGGCATAGTTAATATTCTAAGTATTGCTGGAGATTTCCCAGAGAAGTTTGTATCTTTTTAGTTAAAATTGTTTTTAACTGAGATTAATAAATACCTGCAATTATTAGCATCCATGTGATTATCTTCTCACTATTCTCACATCATTAGACTAAATAATAGACTCTTCCACGAACACAGTGGGTTCCAGAGGTTGTAAAGAAACTAGCATAACATATATCTTATTACTTCCATAATTTCTGAGAAAGCCAGATTTAAAACTATTATTTAATTGGATAAATTTATTGTTTGATAAGCTGAGACATTTGTATCTTGGAAATGATATAAAAGTAAGGTAACGACAACATGGAGCTTACCCTGATTTGATTCGACATACGATTCCCTGAGTATTGCCAGGAGTGATTTCTGAGCACAGAGCAAGAGTAAGCTCTGAGCACTTCTGGGTGTGCCCCCACACCCCCAAATAAAAAATTTAAGAGGTAGCAATAAACTGAATTACAGTGAAGTACAATGAAGGTTCAAAAGATAATTGTTGGGTACAGCTAGAGCAATAGCACAGCGGGTAGGGCGTTTGCCTTGCACGTGGTCTACCCAGGCTCGATTCCCAGCATCCTATATGGTCCCCTGAGCACTGCCAGGAGTGATTCCTGAGTGCAGAGCCAGAAGTAACCCCTGAGCATCGCCAGGTGTGACCCCAAAAACAAAAAAAAATAAAGATAATTGTTGGGTCCAGAACAATAGAATAGTGGGTAGGGAATTTGCCCTGCACACGGCCGAGCATCCCATATGGTCCCTGGAGCACTACCAGGAATGATTCTTGAATACAGAGTCAGGAGTAACTCCTGAACATCACTGGGTGTGACTCCCTACCACCCCTCCAAAAAAAGAGAATTGTTTTTCTAATGATATTCCCCCAGAATATTTTGATTTGTTTTTCATTTTTATTTTTTGTATCTTGAGATGCCATTTAAAAAAATTTGTTTTTTTGGGGTCAAATTATTTAAAACATAGTTTATCCCAAGGGCTTTCCAAATTCTACCTTAAATCTTAGTATCTTTATTCTACAATTTTGATCAACTGGGTAGTTGGAAAGCTAAATCTACTTCTCATTGAAGTCAAAATGAAAAATATTTGTGTCCGAGAATATTTTAAATTGTGTCTGAGTATTTAAGATCTCTGTGCTATCATGTGGTATAACTTGAATTATCGTGTTTTGATATTTATGTTATGCATTTTTTAATGTATAGACATTAGCAAGACATTACTGTATTAGGTTTTGAGGATTGTTTTGAATGGATGAATTGGATGCTAAGCTTGCTAGCCAGGCTTTCCAGTAATTTTACTGTTTTCATTTAGAAGGGTGGTGGATATGGAGTTGGACTTGTTTTAGTCTTTTAAACTAGGAAAAACATTTAAAACAGGCTCTGACAGAGGATAGGGAGGAAAATGACAGAGAGGAAAAGAAATCGAGGGGGGAGAAAGAAGATGAGAAAGGGAAGTAGCAGGCGAACAGGAATCTGGGGCTTCAGGCATGCTGATGGTGTGGGAGAGTGATGTGGCTTTGTAACCAAAGCAGAGACTCATTAATACTGAAAATATAAGATCTAAACTGCAACCATCAAACTTTGAAGTGTGCCGGTTAAGGCTGTAGGTGGGAGGGGGCAGGAGGGAATGTGGGTACAGTGGTGGTGGAAAGTTGACACTGGTGGTGGGATTTGTATTGGAATATTGTATGCCTAAGACTCAATTATCAATAACTTCGGAAAACACGGTTCTTTAATTAAATAAAAAAATTTTAAGAAGGCCCTTGCAGTAAAACAGTTCGTGAAACGATCTTTCTCCTTCACCTGGAGACTTTTCTATCATGAGATGGACTAAAATTAAAGCATAGAATGGGAAGTTGACACTGGTGGTGGGATTTGTGTTGGAATATTTTATGCCTAAGACTCAATTATCAATAACTTTGTAAAACATGGTTCTTTAATTAAATAAAAAATTTTTAAGAAGGCCCTTGCAGTAAAACAGTTTATGAAACGATCTTTCTCCTTCACCCGGAGACTTTTCTATCATGAGATGGAATAAAATTAAAGCATAGAATGCAAAGCAGATGATGAGCTTGGGCTTAAGTAGAGAACGACATAAAAATGTACATAAAATTTAATTTATAAAAGTTTACTCTTTTAATAGCTGAGATCAGCACCAGGAGGATTACTCCATAGCTTAGTGGCCAGTCGGGCATTCTAGAGGAAAGGGGAGCTCAGATAGAGAAGGGAACACCAAATAAAGGGTGTTTGGAGGACCCTCCCAGGAGGGAGCGGAGATGCATGTCGAAAGTGGACTATGGACTGAACATGTTTGCCACTCAATGCCTCTTTTGCAGACCACAACACCCAAAAGGAGAGAGAGAACACAGGGGATTGCCCTGCCACAGAGGCAGGGGGGGGGGATGGGGGAATGGGGGTGGGGGGGATATTATCCATGGTGGTGGAAAATGGGCACTGGTGGAGGGATGGGTATCTGATCATTGTATAATTGAAACCCAAGCACAAAAAATTGTAAATCTACAACTGTACCTCATGGTGTTTCACTAATAAAAAAAAAGTTTACTCTTTTAAGTTGTCCTATTGAAAATAGTATTGAACAGTCATAAGCACTTGTGGTTTCCTAGAAGATGTGTTCTAGTAAGTTCCGTGATGAATACTGAAGCATCTCCTAATAGCACTGTAGCACTGTCCTCTCGTTGTTCATCAATTTGCTTGAGCGGGCCCAGTAACATCTCCATTGTGAGACTTATTGTTATTGTGTTTTGGCATATTGGATATCTCCTAATAAGCCCATAATAATAGCCCTATCATCAGCCCTAATAATCAGTTTTAGCAACATTTAAAATATTTCAAAGGTAAAAATTTTCCTGGGCATGTTCAAGTTCCTTAGGGAGAAATTATTTAATAATCTTCAAAACTTTTGTATAGAAAGCTGTCACTTTAATTCAGACCAGATTTTCTCTGGAATCTTCTAGGTTGTTTATAGTCAGGATAAACTGTGCGTTATGACTCTTTGGCAGTCTAGTGGTCAAAACTCTCCATTTTGGAAAGTTAATTTCAAAGATCACTATTCAGTGAGGAGAATCCTTGCTGTGTTCAATTAAAAAAAGTTTTAAGTAAGAGTATTTAAAAATTTTAAAAAACAATAAGTTAGGTAGCCAGTGCACGCCATTAGATGTGATATTTTTCTTATGCTATTTTGACAATATCATTGAAAATGTAAAAAAATATTATTTTTTAGGTATACATATGGGAAACCAGTGAAAGGAGATGTGACACTTAGGTTTTCACCTTTATCCTTCTGGGGTGAGAAGAAAAATATTCACAAAATTTTAAAGGTAACATACAGATTTTATAATTTTTTGTGGGTAAAATTTTTGTTTACATTTTTGAAAAAATGAAATTTTTGTACTGATTAACAAAAATTGAGTGTAAGGTTAATCAAGGGCTTTAGAGTCTTGGACCATTGAGAATTTACTCGTTTATAGTGATTAAAATGGGACAGAGAGAGTCATTGTATTATTTTGTCTTAATAATGAGTTTTATTTGTATTTTATTTATACTACTTGAGTTATTAAAATAAAAAAATGAAATCTTTCTTTCTCTTTTAAACAAAACAGATAGATGGGTCTGCAAACTTCTCTTTTAGTGATAAAGAAATCAAAGAAGTAATGGATTTCTTGGATGAACGTTTAGAGTACACGCATGCATCTCCTTTTGGTCCAGTAGAAATTTTAGCGATAGTGACAGAATCACTCACAGGTTTGTATGTGTGGAAGTGGAGATAAAGTGATTTATGTGGTGCTTCACTGGTCTTTCCATTCATTTTGGTAGTGTTATTCTCCTCCAAAAGGTGCTATTTAGTGCTGAGATTATTATGTCTACTAAATAACCTTCTGGAACATTTTCATAATGAAGAGGAGAAATACATTTTGTATGAAATTTCAAAATGTGATAGGTTTTTTTTTTTTAAAACCCGTTTATACCATTTACGTTTGGCCTGAAAATTACATGGAAAACTAATCTTTTCAGATGATGATTGTTTTGGGGAATCACTTAAATATTCAATAATCTGTCCCCCACCCCCAGGTTTTTTTTTTTTTTTTTTTTTTTTGCGATAACTGGCTGTACTCAGGGTTTCCTCCTAGCTCTTTTCTCAGGGATCACTTGTGGTGGGACTGGGGACCATATGGGGTGTTGGGGATTGAACCCCGGTCACACAAGACAAGGGTCCTACTTGCCTTACTATCTTTCCATCCCTGAATACTCAGAAATCTTCTTTCTCTTTGACAGTTTTCTCTTTAACAATGAAACTAAAGGTTAGTTATTTGTATCTTAGTATTAGTGTCTCAAGAGTGTTGTTTTTTTCAATTAATTTTTAACTAATTCCCAAAGGAGCAAAAGATTATTCTGTTAGTGACTTTAATCTGCTGGAGCAAATGTGACTGAGGGAGTAACAGTGCTTTAAAGGCATCTGTAGAAGATGTGATAGAACAGTGTGTTTCTGTCAGTGGCCAAGTCAATGTTGAATGAGGTTGTATCCTGATGGGGTATATAACCAGGTAGAGAGATTTGTTGGATAGAAGCTATTGTTGAAATAATACCTTTGCTTTCTAAATGGTGCAATGTCCACAACAGGTATCTCAAGAAATGCAAGCTCCAATGTCTTTATTAAGCAACATGATTACATCATTGAATTTTTTGACTATCATACTGCCTTGAAGCCATCTCTTAACTTCACTGCCAATGTAAGTTGGCACATTTATAACAGTCTAAAGCAATAAATTCAGTACAATGGGAATCATGTTTTTAGTGTTTTTAAAAAATTTGAGCTAAAGGTAGGTTAATTTTCCTCTTCACATATATGAGACATACAGAATTGTTTCCAAATAACATCTAAAAATTAGTTTCTAACAAAAATATTTTCAACATTCTTGGCTGTACAATTTTAGTTTGACTTGTATTATCAAATTGGGGCTTTATTATTAATTAAAGAAATTAGATACTTGTCAGCAATTTTAATTTGATTTTATAATATGTAATACACAATACATAAACAAAGTTATGTTTTATAATATAAACAATATATTAAAAATCTATAAGCAAAGAGAGGAATATAGTGCTTGGACATAGTGGGTTTAGAAAGTGAAAAGGAAGAACTATTCAGAGATATTTAGTCTAGTAGAATTATGGTAGGAGGTATGAGTAGTTTACTAAGGTGGAGAGATACACTGAATCTGTGGTTGTTGAGGATATAGCCGTTTCCTGCAGAGGGGGAGGTGATGATAGCAACATGAGGAGACTGGCAGGAGGGCTGAGACCTTTGAGGATGAGAGAATAGGTAATTGGCCTGGACAAATCCCCACAGTTAGGGAGAGGAAGAGGAACCCAACCCAAACCAAACCAGACCCCCAAAACAAAACAAAACAAAACAAAAAACCAAGATGAGAATGCAGAAGGTGGGATGAGAAAGGAGTCTAGTGTAGAGACATGAAGAGAAAAGAGGCAAACCAAGAGTGTGGTCAGTGATATGGGAGTCTTCTAGAGAGGGACTACACAATCTGGAAGTTTGGGCACAACCCGTAAGTCTTGAGAACTCCGTTTCATGGGAGTAGTGCAAATGGAAATTTGACTTCATGCAGTTCCTTTGTTTCTTTTGTTACCTGTTTTAAAATGTTGTGTTTTGAAATGTAGGTGAAAGTATTCCGCTCTGATGACAATCCACTGACTCTTGAAGAGAGAAAAAATGATGTAGTCATAACGGTGACACAGTCGAATCATTCCAGCTACTCGAGCAGAGAGCACAGTACTGATGAAAAGACAGTGGTCCAGACCATAAATTACACTGTGCCCCAGAGTGGAATCTTTAAGATTGAAATCCCAGTCCTGCCTGATAGCAATGAGCTACAGTTGAAGGTGCTGCCTGTTTGTCTTCATGCTACTGCACTGACCATGTTGAAATTTTGATCTGTGATAGGTGTTCTGTCCATAGGAAGTCAGTGCACAGAAAGTGGTTTGCAACATGGGGAAAACTGTAAAATGGGAGAAATTGTTAAAAGAAATTTTGTGACATTGATTGAGGACTAGACTGTCCTTGAAATTTTTTAAAGAGTACCTCCATATAGCATGCCCCAAATAGGTTGGAGAGACTCCCCAAAACTCTTCCCATTGTTGATTTTGTCATTGGACATTCTACATTGATTGAAACGGAAATGAAAGGAAATAAATGATTATGCTTATATTTCTTTTCTGGGCTTTTCCCTAGAGTGATTTCCCAGATTCCTCAAATACTCTTGCTTCCTTTCTAAATTATTCCAAATCTACCCTATTGGTGGGTTGATAGTGATGATAGAATTTATTGTTTGGAAATGACCTTTGCATTGTGGAAAGAAGGAAATGATTCCTTTTTCCATTTTGTTTTCTCTGGTTACAGTGTTTTCTGATAATGTACCTTTTGTTTCTGAAAAAAACATTTGAAATGAAGCCTTTTTTTCCACTTAGATTATGAGGATGTTTTCTTCGTGTTGAAAATACTAATTTCTTTATATTATAAACTATAAAGTGATAAGGAATATTTTTTCTGGGTGATAAAAAGTGAAAGTAATTTTGCCTTTTAGTAATTATTCTTCAGTCTGCTCGAGCAGTCACCAGTAACGTCTCAAAACAAATTGTGAGACTTGTTACTGTTTTTGGCATATCAAATACTTCATGGGTAGCATGCCAGGCTTTGCCGTGTGGGCGAGATACTCTTGGTAGCTTGCCAGGCTCTCTGAGAAGGGCGGAGGAATCGAACTCGGGTCGGCCACATGCCAGGCAAATGCCCTACCCTCTGTGCTATCTCTCGGAAAGCCCGGCAAGCTACCAAGAGTATCTCACACACATAGCCTGGCAAGCTACCCGTGACGTATTCGTTATGCCAAACACAGTAACAACAAGTCTCACAATGGAGATGTTACTGGGCCCGCTCAAGCAAATTGATGAACAATGGGAGGACAGTGCTATAGTGTTAGTAATATTCAGCAAGTACAATATTATCTGTTACTAAAATGAAAATTTATAGTTTCCTTTCCTTTTATTACAGGCCTCATTTCTTGATAGTGTAAACAAAATGAAAGTTAATGGCATGTTTAATTCTCCTAGTAAAACATACATCCAATTACAAACAAGAGAAGAAGACATAAAGGTAATGCTTACAATTTTTTTTTTGATAATCATAATACAATGGGTTATTTTGACCTTAAATATATATATTAATGATGTTTTATTTTTTCTAGGTGGGATCACCTTTTGAACTGGTGGTTATTGGTAACAAGCCATTGAAGGATTTAAGCTATATGGTAATTATAAAAATCCAATTTATGATTTACTATGGAATCTTCCTAAGCAGTGTCTATCTCTCTCTTTCTTCCAATTTCTACAACTTTCTTTAAATAAAACTATTTTGCTTCATTTAAAAAATATTCAACTCATAGCTTTTTTAGCCTGCCCTTCTAGGAATATAATTAAAGTAACCATCTTCCCCTCATATTCTAGTCTCCAATTTAAGATACATAATTTAATCTTGCATTATGTTTAAATGTTAAATTTCTGTGTACATTCATCGTAGAAAATTATGAAATGTAAGAGATGCTGAAAGAGAGGTAACAGTTACTCCCCATAGCTCTTATTTTGCTAACATGCTTTCCCCAGTGATGCCCCATGTACCTTCCACTTAAAAATATATTCCTGCATGTATGTTAGTGACTGTTGTCTCACCTTTATCGTATCCTTTCCTGTTTCTTAGCATGTTCTCTCTTTGGTGACCAGGAAAGTGTTTTTACATTCAAAAAGACTTCCAAGTTGGATTAAGATTTTCTATGTGTCTGTGGTCCAGTGTGTGATAAAACTGGCTGCTATTTAAGTCTTCACTGACTTTAGTCTATCATGAAAATTGCTTGTTCTTCTTTTTCAGGTAGTATCCAGGGGACAGTTGGTTGCTGCAGGCAAGCAAAATTCAACAACCTTCTCTTTAATTCCAGAAAACTCCTGGGCTCCTAAAGCCTGTGTGATTGTGTATTATGTTGAAAAGGATGGGGAGATTATAAGTGATGTTCTAAAAATTCCCGTTGAGCTTGTTTTTAAAAGTAAGGTAAGATATAAGGAAATGACATTAAAAAAAACCCGTGTTATTAAGCAAAGGGAGAGAAATATCATATTTCTTCACAGTAGTATCATTAAACCATTAACGTCACATCAAGTTGGTTAGAAATTTAACTGCGATAAAACCTCTTCAAATTTTGTGACTGGTTATGTAGTTTTGCGTGTGGATTGACTGGGCAGTGTGGCTTCTAGTTTGTAAGCTGTGACTTCACTTGAAGATGCAACTCAAATCCTTGAAGTTATTTCAGGAGTTCTCAGTATTTAAGTCATCATTATTCCAGTCTGGAATTCCAGTGGTAATTCTGGCTTTGTGTTGTGTTCATACTGGCATCAAGTGAATTGGAAGGAGGAAGAAAGAGGTAGAGTGCACTTCTGGGCGATCTGTGGAAACTGAACTGAGCTTTGGTTTATCCATTTTATCAGCCTGGAAACTAACCCAAGACAAGAAAGTGGCTACGTTGCTTATGGAGATGTGTGTGGATTCTCCAGATACACTAGTGACTTGTAAAGGTTCTCTTGGTCCATCTTATCTGAGTTTTCCAATTTTTATTGCGGTACCATGGTTTACAGTACCATTAGTGGCAGTTTCATGCCTCTATCTTTCCAACACCACACCTTGCACTTGTGTGTCAGTCTCCCTCCACTGGTGACCTGGGGGTTCCTTCCCCCCACAACCCTCTTGGTAAACTCAGGTCTTATCAGTTCGTTTATTCCCCACCTCTCCTATTCCCCCCCACCGCCCTTGGTTTTTGGACCACGCCCTTGGTGCTCTGGGATTACTTCTGGCGATTATGTTCAAGGGTGTTTTGTGCTGCTAGGGATAGAATCATGGTTGGCCTTGGCTTCAAGTACAGCAAGCACTTTAACCTTTGACCTATCTCTCCTGCCTGTATCAGTGATTTTTTAAAATTTTTTTAAAAATTTATTTATTTATTGAATCACTGTGGGAAAGGTTACAAAGCTTTCAGGTTTAGGTCTCAGTCATGCAAATATCAAACACATTTCCCTTTACCAATACTTATTTTTACCATGAAGAACCCCAATAAAACCCCACCCCCCACCTCTCCCAGTCCCTGTGAGGCAGATGAATTCTAGTTAACACTCTATCTGCTTTGATTGGATTCATTGTTTCAATAAAAGATTCACCACTATTATTTAGAGTTTACCCCCCCCCCCCCAACCACCAAATTAGACATGCTGAAAAAGCATTGTGAAGTGATTTGCTTTCTACAGCTGGGTTCAAGAATTAAATGTTGGTTTTGGATTTCTGCTATTTTACTTATTGACCCTGGAAGTATTTCTACTGAAAGTCAGATAGTTAAGAAATTGGTTTCTGTGCTCTGGAGTCGTGGCCGTGCTGGAGAGCCGCTAGTGGGGGGCAACTGGTGGCCTCGGTAGGGCGTGAAGGACGGACCGGAACGCCCCCCTTCCCATGAGGTTTTAGTCGCCCCCACACCCCCGGCTCATACCTGCTGTCCACAAGGCTCCCATGCAGCCACCATCTTTCCTTCCAGAGAGGAGAGGGCGACTGGGGCAATACCCTTTCCCCTCCGGACAGACATGATGGCCTGGATTAACGCATAGTTCGTTCACTTTTCTGCTCCAAGCTGCCGGGTTCTGCATTAAGTCCTTGTGCTTCTGGGGCCGTGGCCGTGCTGGAGAGCCGCTCGCAGGGGGCAACTGGTGACCTCGGTAGGGCGTGAAGGACGGACCGGAACGCCCCCCTTCCCATGAGGTTTTAGTCGCCCCCACACCCCCAGCTCATACCTGCTGTCCACAAGGCTCCCATGCGGCCGCCATCCTTCTTTCCAGAGAAGAGAGGGCAAATGGGGCAACACCCTTTCCCCTCCAGACAGACATGATGGCCTGGATTAACGCATAGTCCGTTCACTTTTCTGCTCCAAGCTGCTGGGTTCTGCATTAAGTCCTTGTGTTTCTGGGGCTGTGGCCGTGCTCCAAACTTAACTCTGATTTTCAGGGAGAAACGTTGGGTGGTTTACTTCCCATGGATCACTTTGTATATAGAGAGATGTCGCGCGGCCGCGTGGTTTTGAGGAAAAGTCCTAGTTCCCGCATACTCAAGCTGTGCTTGTAGAGGCTTCTGGTCACCGGGGTTCCATCTGGGAGAGTCGGGATGCGGTACCTACCCCATCTGGGACTTCCCGATGATCTCAGCTCTTTTTGGAACCTGTTTTTTTTTTTTTTCTTCGGGAGCTGTGGGTCCCGCCCTGCATGTGGCCCTTCTCTTCGGCTGAATGCTTTAAAGATGGCGCTGGGGGGCGGGCTGTGGGCGTGACTTCCGGAATCTGAGGTTACCTGGGAGTTGTAGTCCCGGCAGATTTGAGGAAAAGTCCTAGTTCCCGCATACTCGAGCTGTGCTTGTAGAGGTTTCTGGTCACCGGGGTTCCATCTGGGGGAGGCGGGATGTGGTACCTACCCCATCTGGGACTTCCCGATGATCTCGGCTCTTTTTGGAACCTGTTTTTTTTTTTTTCTTCGGGAGCTGTGGGTCCCGCCCTGCATGTATAGTGATTTTTAAAAAAATTTTTATCAGTGAGACATCATGAGGTACAGTTGTAGACTTACAAATTTTTGTGCTTGGGTTTCAATTTTACAATGATCAAATACCCATCCCTCTACCAGTGCCCATTTCCCACCACCACGGATCCCAGTATCCCTCCCACCCCCCAAACCCCCCATCCCACCATGCCTTTGTGGCAGGGCATTCCCTTTTGTTCTCTCTCTCCTATTGGGTGTTGTGGTTTGCAAAAGAGGCAATGGGTGACAGTCATGTTTGGTCTATAGTCTACTTTCAGCATGCTTCTCCCATCCTGGGAAGATCCTCCCAACACCATTTATTTGATGCTCCCTTCTCTATCTGAGCTGCCTTTTCCCCTAGCATGTGTGGTTGGCCTCCAACCCATGGAGTAAAATTCCTGGTACTAATCTCGGCCATTCTTGGGTGTTAGTCTCCTATTTTGTTACTTTATGTTCCCCAGATGAATGCAATCTTTCTATGTCTATCCCTTTCTTTCTGAGTCATTTCGCTTAACATGATACTTTCCATATAGTACCACTTGTATGTAAATTTCATGACTTCATCTTTTCTAACAGCTACATAGTACTCCATTGCATCAGTGATTTTTTTTTCTCTTTATATATTGGTCAGCTTGGTGGAACCCCTCTTGGAAACCAACTCTGAGAAAGACCCAGTCACAAAAGTGGCACATAGTCAAGAATTATGAATATTAAAATAAGTCATTGTTCTCACTAATATCTATTACCTTCTATGGCCCACTTAAGCAAAAACAATAATTTTTGAAAGTGATTCACAGAATGCAATTCGATTAGTAGAATTTCTTTTTCCCTAATTTGTTAAAATGATGAGTAGTAATAGGAACCATCCATGATGCTTTTTATTGAGAACTGTTACTTCTAACTTTGTCAAATATAATTGCAAACTTTTTTTTCATATGATGGGGGATTTTTAAAGACAAAACTATATCCATTAGTTTCAGAGCAAAATTTTTTATTTCTAGAAGTTCAAGTAATTCCCTGGAAGCTGTGAATTTTAAAAAATATCACTTTTTACTGAGGTGTCATGGTGTCCAAGAGTATTAATATTATTAATTTTTGATCATGATGCTACCACCATTGGAGTGCCTGTATCTCTCCATCACACTCCTAGGTGCTCACTCTCCATTCCCCAGCAGCTTAAGTTCTGGTGGAAGTATCTCAGAGAGACAAAGGTGAATTTGAAGATAGAAGTCAAGAAGACCTAAAAAAATATGGGGGGCATGGTGGCAGGTACGACATAGCAACAGTATATTATTGATTGAGTTTTAGTTTTTGGGTCACATCTTGTGGCTCAGAACTTACTCTTGGCTCTGCTTTTAGGGATAACTTCCTGGGGGATTTCAGATACCATACAGGGTGCTGGTGTTTGAGCCCAGGTGGGCTGTGTGCAAGGCAAGTCCCTACTCACTTGTACTATCGCTCCATCCCCAACATTATATTCTTTAAACATTTATAATAACAAGTAATGTCAGTTATGGTGCCTAAGTGAGGAAAAAAATGACAAAAATTTAAGAGGCAGGCTTAATAAAAGAGGTGTACATCAATAACAGTGAGACCAAGTTCTAAAAACTTAACAGCACAAAAGGGGAAGCAGAGTGTATAAGTAGCATATTTGCAAAAATGTCTTCAGTATGAGAGATAAGAAATCTGTTTCAATAGCTAGAATCTGGAAAAAACCTGAGTTCCTGAGAACAGATGACTGGTTAAAGAAACTTTGGTACATCTACACAATGGAGTACTATTGCAGCTGTTAGAAAAGATGAAGTCATGAAATTCATATACAAGTGGTACTACATGGAAAGTACCATGTTAAGCAAAATGAGTCAGAAAGAAAGGGACAGACATAGAAAGATTGCATTCATCTGGGGAACATAAAGTAACAAAATAAGAGACTAACACCCAAGAATAGCCGAGATAAGTACCAGGAGGTTCACTACATGGCTTTGAGGCCAGCCACACATGCTAGGGGAAAAGGCAGCTCAGATAGAGAAGGAAGCACCAAATAAAGGGTGTTGGGAGGTTCCTTTCAGGATGGGAAATGCATGATGAGAGTAGACTATAGACCGAACAAGATTGCCACTCAGTGTCTCTTTTGCAAACCACAGCATTCAAAAGGAGAGAGATAACAACAGGGAATGCCTTGCCACAGAGTTAGGATGGTATGGGGGGGTGGGGGATGGGAGGGATACTGCAACTGGTGATGGTGGAGAATGGGCATTGGTGGAGGGATGGGTTCTCGATTATTGTATAACTGAAACCCAAGCACAAAACTTTGTGTCTACAACTTTACCTCATGGTGTTTCACTAATAAAAATTTAAGAAAAAAAAAGAAATTTGTTTCAGTTACACTTACAAAGATATCTTTAGGGACCAGGTATGTGGCTCAATGGTAGAGCCACTTGTTTTGCATATGTGAGGTCCTGGGTTCAATCCTTATAGGATAATGTTTATCACAGCCACACAGAAGTGCAAGTTTCAATAACGGAGTCCCTGAGGCTCAGGGTAAAGAGTGGAGAGAAATAACGTAGATGTGGTGGCTTAAGAGGTTTATCAAGCAAATATGGCATTAGAAAAGCTAACCAGGTCAGGATGGCATTAGAAAAGCTAACCAGGCCAACCAGAGATGGAATGCACCAGCTATGAAATAGAAGGCAGGAAAGTTTCAAGCGATGGGGTGAGTTGGAGGGAAATTATTGGAGAACATGGGGAGGGATTGGTCAATGGGATCAGACCATCTGTGTTTGCCTAACTGAAAAACTGTCAAGCTCCCCATTCCCCCAGGAACTGCAGGATCAAATAGACCTCTTTCTTCCTCTCACATCCCCAAGAAAGACATTTCTGGGCTGTAAAACTGGGATATATATATATATATATATATATATATATATATATATATGTAAGTAAGTAAGTAAAGGCCCTCCCGTTGATCGTCGATTTGCTCGAGCGGGCCCAGTAACGTCTCCATTGGAGACTTTGTTGTTACTGTGTCTGGCATATCGAATACTCTCGGTAGCTTGCCGGGCTCTCCGAGAGGGGCGGAGGAATCGAACTCGGGTCGGCCATGTTGGCCGCGTGTAAGGCGAACGCCCTACCCGCTGTGCTATATATATATATATATATATATATATATATTCAAAGTGCAGAAAATGATTTACAATGGCAAATAGATTTTCAAGAAAATAGAGATGTGGGGCTTTTAGTCAGGAAGAGGCTGTGTAAAGTTTAGTTTGCATGGAGTAGATCAGTTAGGATGTTGGTGTGGTGGTACGATCACTGGGACAGTGGGATATGGAGACAGAACAAGATCTTAGCAGGAAAGGCCCCAAGGGCAAAGCCATTCGGTACAACTATGATGAGAGGGTTGACTGTCTTTAAGAAGTACTGGCATAGGGGGCTGGAGCTATAGCACAGCGGGCAGGACGTTTCCCTTGCATGCGGCTGATCCGGGTTTGATTCCCAGCATCCCATCTGGTCCTCTGAGCACCACTGGGAGTAATTCCTGAGTGCAGAGCCAGGAGTAACCCCTGTGCATTGCCGGGTGTGACCCAGATAAAAAAAGTATTGGTATAGCCATGTTTTGGTGAGTGTAAGGTTGGGGATGTCAGGTAGTCATGGGGACAAAGTCTGGGGCCTCATTAGTTCTTGGTTTAATTTCCTCCTCCCCGCTCTGCCTTCAGCTCTTTGCATCCTTGGCAAACTCTCACTTTGTTGCCAGGTTTAAGTCCAGGTCACCAAAATGAGCATCTGAAGCGCTTTCCCCTTTTTTTGTGTGTGTCCCCTCTTGCTACCAGCTATCCTCAGCAGTGCTAGATATTGCTGTCTTCTCCTCAGTGCTGGCAGGTGGTGGAGGAGTAGGACATGGAGAGAGAGAAGAGGAGAGGTTGCAAAGTGAAGGGAATTCCAATGGATGACTCTGTGAGAGGGTTCCTGACTTGCAAACATGTTGGCAGTAGCTTTTTATGACTCAGTTCTTCAGAGGAGACTTGTATATAGTTTTCGACTTCTTTCTGAGACGAGGCAAATGTAGAGTGTTGAATTTTGTATCATTGATCGACTGTTGGTCAGACAGGTAAGGGATGCTGTAAAAACATAAGTTAAGTACATTCTGCTTTCTCCTTTTCTTAGGTAAATCTGTTTTGGAGCAAAGGTAATGCGGAGCCATCTGAGAAGGTCTCTCTTCGCATCTCTGTGACACAGCCTCACTCTGTAGTTGGGATCGTCGCGGTTGACAAAAGTGTGAATCTGATGAGTACGTCCAATGATATTACGATGGAAAATGTAAGTTTAGCGAAGGGATTTTTTGTTTTTGTTTTCTAAATAATGCTCAGGGAGCCTGGGTTACACTCCTGGCAAAACTTGGCCATCTGGGCCCTGCTGGGCCCTGAGAATGTGGTGCTGCTTGGGCCCTACAAGTGCTTGTGACCGTCAGGGACACATTGTTGACTCTGGGGTTTGACCACATGCTCTGGTCCTACATGTTTTATCTTTTTTTTTTTTTTTGCCACACCAAGTGATGTTTTGAGCTTACTCCTGGTTCTGTGCTCAGGAACCACTCCTGGAAGTGCTTTGGGGACTATATGTAGAGTTCAGAATCCAGCTGGGTTGGCCACATACAAGCAAGTGTGCTAACCCCTGAACACTCTCTTCAATCCCTGATATTTTTATTATAACAATACATAATAATAATAAATACATAAAAATAATAATAATACAAAATAATAAGAGAAAGGTAACGGCAGTACTTTCAAATATCTAAAGGAAGGTTTTAATAGTTCTTCACTTACGAGTAAAAAATTAACAAAATTTCCAAATAAAAAAGAATCTGTAGGGGCTGGAGTGATAGCACAGTGGGTAGGGCATTTGCCTCTCACATGGCTGACCCAGGTTAGATTCCTGGCATCCCATATAGTCCCCCGAGCACTGCAGGAGTAATTCCTGAGTGCAGAGCCAGGAGTAAACCCTGAACATTGCTGGATATGACCCAAAAAGAAAAAAAAAAGAATCTGAGTTACGTTAGAGAGAAGTTTATGTGGTTAAGTGTCTTTGCTGTTTCAGATGAGAACTATTACGTAAAATTCTCTCTAATTTTCCTATTGTATTTTAGTTTGAAGTCTCAAGAAAGTTTTATGAAATTGCATTGTCTAAATCTGGATGCCACTGAATAAGGGGCTTATTTAAAGCCCCTTATTTATTTTTTTAAATGCATGATTTTTTTAATTATTATTTTTAGTGAAACACCATGAGGCACAGTTGTAGATTTACAATTTTTTGTGCTTGGGTTTCGATTATACAATGATCAAATACCCATCCCTCCACCAGTGCCCATTTTCCACCACCATGGATAATATCCCTCCCACCCCCATCCCTTCCATCTCACCCTGCCTCTGTGGCAGGGCAATCCCCTGTGTTCTCTCTCTCCTTTTGGGTGTTGTGGTCTGCAAAAGAGGCTTTGAGTGGCAAACATGTTCAGTCCATAGTCTACTTTCAACATGCATCTCCCCTCCTGGGAGGATCCTCCAAACACCCTTTATTTGGTGCTCCCTTCTCTATCTGAGCTGCCCTTTCCCCTAGAATGCCCGGCTGGCCTCTAAGCTATGGAGTAATCCTCCTGGTGCTGATCTCAGCTATTCTTGGGTATTGATCTCATATTTTGTTTCTTTATATTCCCCAAATGAATGCAATCTTTCTATGTCTATCCCTCTCTTTCTGACTCATTTTGCTTAGCATGATACTTTCCATGTTGTACCACTTGTATGTAAATTTCATGACTTCATCTTTTCTAACAGCTACATAGTACTCCATTGTGTAGATGTACCAAAGTTTCTTTAACCAGTCATCTGTTCTTGGGCATTCAGGTTACTTCCAGTTTCTGGCTATTGTAAAGAGTGCTGCAATGAACAAACAAGTGCAGATGTCACTTCGACTACACATTTTTGCCTCTCTGGGGTATATTCCCAGGAGTGGTATCGCTGGGTCAAATGGGAGCTCAATTTCTAATTTTTTGAGATTCGTCCATACTGTTTTCCAGAAAGGCTGAACCAGTGGACATTCCCACCAACAGTGAAAAAGTGTCCCTTTCTCGCCACATCCGCGCTAGCATTGGTTGCTTTTGTTCTTTTGAATGTGGGCCAGTCTCTGAGGTGTGAGATGGTATCTCATTGTGGTTTTGATCTGCATCTCCCTGATGATTAATGATGTAGAGCATTTTCTCATGTGCTTTTTTGCCATTCGGATTTCTTCTTTGAGAAAGTTTCTGTTCATTTCATTGCCCCATTTTTGGATGGGGTTGGATGTTTTCTTCTTGTGGAGTTCAACCAGTATTTTGTATATCCTTGATATCAACCCCTTGTCAGATGTGTGTTCGGCGAATATCCTTTCCTATTCTGTAGACTGTTAAAGCCCCTTATTTAAAGTGCTTTCCATTTGTGTTATATAACGGTCACAAATGCTTATAGTCATCACTGAATCAGGAGTTTATATTGTACTGGAGGATTGAAATCATGTTAATCTGCATTTAAAAAAATGTTAAATTTTGAAGTTCAGACCAATCTTCTTTCCATGGACTTCTTTCCAATGATTTAAAATTCATTAGGAAGAAAGATATATTTGGGCTAATTCTGTCATTTGAAAAAATTGCCCCACTCATGAAAAATGATGCATTTTCTTCAGTTTATGTATTTAATTGTCCTGCTTTTTTGTTTTTGAATCATACCTGTTGGTGCTTGGGAACTACTCCTGACTTCTGGCTCAGGAGCAGATCCTGGGAGTGCTTGAAGAGGGCCCTGCAGTGTCGGGGATCACCTGTCTCCTGCATGCAAAGTGTGTGCATTGGCCCTCTGACCAGCTAGTTCCCTGACTCCGCTGGTTCAGTCTTTAGCCCCTTCACCTTCCACTGTTGTTCCATTGACTTGGGGTTGCATTCATGCCTGGTTGTGGTGTCTGCGTGCTCAGCCTGGTGATCTCAGGAAGCCTTGTACTCTAGTTGCAGTGCTTCCTGGCATACATGTTTGCTGGGGGTTACACTCCTTGAGTGGTGATCCCACACATTCTTTTATGGTGTTGGCTGGCATCACTGCGGTGCTCACACACACTGCTGGGGGTCATGCTCTTGGCTGCAGCACTTATGTGCTTGTGTACATCGGCCAAAGGGCCAGGAGGGTCCGAGCTCAGCTTGTGGCGATGTCCCTGGGGATGGGACTTGCTGTTGCATTTGCAGGGTAAGTGTGTGACTTTTGGCCACTGCCACTCCCCAGTCTTCTCAGTCTGTTTTTTTTTCTTTTTTAGAAAAGATTAAAATTAATTGGTTATTTTATTCTCCTTTTTTTCTAAATTCACAAAGATATTTAAAGTCTGTAGGATCTTGCACTTAATTTAAACTGAATATTGTACTCACTCATCATGCAGCTTTCTAAATATCATTTAAAATATATTATCTTTTTTCACTCTACATGTGTATTCTTTCTTTTGTGTCTCTGTCTCTGTCTCTCTCTCTCTCTCTTTCTCTCTCTCTCTCTTACTCTCTCCCCTCCTTTCTCAGTCCTGCTTCCCTATCTGGTGCTAATGTTATTTCTGTGTCTGTCTTTGTATATGTAATTCACATTAAATGATTAAGTGTTGTGAAATATTAAGATTGCTCTTCCTCTTTATGTTTGTACTGGCCTGGTGTATTTCCCCATCTTTTTCTTTTTAGTCTTTTGCAATGTTTTGTTTTCTGTCCATATTGTAGGTGATATATTTTATTTTTCTTTTATTTCAAAGTTAATCTGTTTAGGTAAGCTTATTTAACCTATGTCTAAGTCTGGCCATTTTTATTCTAATTAGAATTTCTTATTTTAAAAATTCTTTACCTTAAAACTAAGACTATTCTTTCTATGGACTAGATTCAATTTTATTCTTCATGTTTGAATTTGTATGCTTTATTTTATGGTAGATATCATTGCTCGAGACTTTGTTGTTACTGTATTTGGCATATCAAATACTCTCGGTAGCTTGCCGGGCTCTCCGAGAGGGGCGGAGGAATCGAACTCAGGTCGGCCATGTTGGCCGCTTGTAAAGCGAACGCCCTACCCGCTGTGCTATCGCTCCTCATGAGCTCTTCTTTCTGAGTGGATAGCTAATCAGTATTTGTATCTCTATCAGACGAGGCAGGTATTTTAGTGTGCTCTCAGATTCTTGCTTATCCTTTAAAAATATTTTAGTCACCATGCTTTATAATTGTACAATACCGTCAAAGGTAGAGCTTCATGTAAGCAGCATCCCAACTACCCACCTCCCTCCACAGTGTCTGGTCCCTCCACCATTGACTGTCTCAGGGTCCTCCCAGCCATCCAGCCCCTTTTCCTCAAGAACTTACTCTTTTATTTTATTATTATTATTATTATTTCCTTTTTTGGTCACATCTGGCGATGCACAGGCTACTCCTGGCTTTGCACTCAGGGATTACTCCTGGTGGTGCTGGGAAGAACCATATGGGATGCTGGGGATCGAACCCAGGTCGGCTGCATGCAAGGCAAATGCCCTACCCATTGTGCTATTGCTCCAGCCCCAAGAACTTATTCTTTTAAATCTCACTCTCTGTACCCTTCTTTTTCTTTAATCCTGGCATTTTGCTCTTGTGTAGAATTTTTGTTTATTTTACTGTAGATTGCCTGTTCTGTCCTTGTTCTCCCTTCAATTTTCAGTTCTTGAACTTCAGGTCTATTATTTCTTAATCTGTTTTCTTCTTTCTGACCCCCTGTGATTCAGAGATTGGCATCTGCATCTGTTCTCCATGTCGTGTGACTTTCTTTTTGTTTTTTTTTTTTGTTTTCTAGTCCATTGTCTTTCCTGTATTTCTTGGGGGAGAGTCCCCCAGTTGACTCCTTCAGTTCACGCATCGTTTGCCAGCTCTCTCTAACCTGTAAGCTGTTGAACTTTAATGATCTATTACTTTCACGTGGTTCCTATCTCTTGTTCTTGTTTTGTATTACTAAGATTCCCTTCCCTCCCCTCTCCTTTTGTGTATTTCTTACAATTGAAAAATTCCTGAGCATCAAAAGTTGTATGATATCTCACTGAATCTCCTTTATGGATGTCACATGCTTTGGTGTCAGTTGACTTGGCAGTTCCTCTTCTCTTGGGAAGTCTCAACACCAGGTTGTTTTCTTTACTCCTTTGAAAGTCCTAAGAGTTTAAAGATAGAAAAGGAATGAAGTTTCAGGGAGTCAAAGAACTAGCCATAATAAAGCTGCTGACCTGGGTTCGATCCCTCGCATCCCATATGGTCCCTGTGACTGTCAGGAGTGATTCCTGCGTGCAGAGTCAGGACTAACCCCTGAGCATTGTCATATCTGACACCCCCCATCCGAGTCCCCCCAAAAGGAACTATCCTTTTTTTTCTGTCACACCCGGAAATGCACAGGGTTTACTCCTGGCTCTGCACTCAGGTGCTCAAGGGACCATATGGGATGCTGGGAATTGAACCTGGGTTGGCCGTGTGCAAGGCAAATGCCCTACCTGCTGTGCTATTGCTCCAGCCCCCAAAAGGAACTATTCTTTTTTTTTATTAGTGAAATACCATGAGGTACAGTTGTAGATTTACAAATTTTTGTGCTTGGGTTTCAGTTATACAATGATCATGTACCCATCCCTCCACCAGCGCCCATCCTCCACCACCACGGGTCCCAGCATCCCTCCCACCCCCCATCCCCCCCATCCCACCCTGCTTGTGTGGCAGGGCATTCCCTTTTGTTCTCTCTCTCTCCTTTTGGGTGTTATGGTCTGCAAAAGAGGCATTGAGTGGCAATCATGTTTGGTCTATAGTCTACTTTCAGCATGCTTCTCCCACCCTGGGAGGATCCTCCCAACACCCTTTATTTGGTGCTCTCTTCTCTATCTGAGCTAAAAGGAACTATTCTTTTTTTTTAAATCAGTGCAAATTTTATTTATTTATGTTTATATTTTTAATTGAATCACGTGAGATACAGACTTACAAACTTTCGTGATTACATTTTAGTCATACAGTGATCGAGTACCCATCCTTCCACCAGTGCCCATTCTCCACCACCAATGTTCCCAGGATCCCTCCCACCACCCCCCTATCCCACCTCCCCCTACCCTTGCCCCGCCACCTCTGTGGTAGACACATTCCCTCTTACTCTCTCTCTCTACTGTGGGGTGTTAGGGTTTGCAATACAGGCAGTATGTGGCCATCATATTTGGTCTATAGTCTACTCAAAGGAACTATTCTTGATCTGCTCTGTGCACTGTTGCTTTTCTTCGAAAAAGCAGTGCCAGGAAGGGCAGTCCTCGAAGGTTATACTCCACCTTTCCCGAGGGATTGGAAGCACAGGAAGCAGCTGACTGCTCCAGGCTCACAGGGCTGTCTGTGTGTTTCTATCATTTCCTCCCACTGGAGGACTGAGGTGCTGACCTGGCGGCCCCTCACCACCCAGAGGCACAGTCTGGGCTGCTGCTGCCACTGCTGATTTTGGCAATGAAATGGCAAGGAATGATGATGCTGAGGTTGGCCTCTGAGGAGAAGTAAGAGCAGGGCTGAGAAACATTTCCTTCTCCAGCCTGTCCTTTTCGGCTTCTTCTAGCAGTGCTGTGCTACTCACTTCTTTGCAATACACCAGTTGAAATGATCCAGACTTCACTCTTCAAGGCTTGCTTTTTTTTTTTTTTTTTTGGTCCCACTTCTCTATGTTTCTTCCTTGCTTTATTGTGTCTCCAGAATTGGCTCTGGAAGAGGGAGTTGGGCGTCTGAGGAAACAGACCATTTGGTTTCTTCCATTCTTGTGAAATTCGAATGTGCTGCCGAGTGACTTTTGAACACCTTGAAATAATTTAAGGAGGCGAGGTCTTCCAGAAATAGCTTTCAGACCCCAGTCTTGCCTTCATTAGCCTGTACTGTGTTTCTGGCAGGTTTTGTTGAGCCAGTGAGGATGGGAGGATTTTCTTATTTATGAGAGACGTGTGTCCCTAGATATCCATCAGACTATGCCTGAGTGTCCGCTGAAGGCAGTCTTTCATGTTTTCTGTTCTTCTCTCATCGTGTCCGCCTCTGCCTTTGTATTTTGTAGCTGGGCTAATATTTTTTAGCTCTTTGAGACATGATGGAGTTTTCCAGGTTCTTATCCTGTTTGCCTCTTTATTCCCATTCTAGCACCAGGTTTGCTTCCTATGAATACAGTAGTGGTTATTGTTAGCACAGTAGATATATTGATTGTGCTGTTTGATTTATTTTTTTTTAATCACCATGGGCTACACTTACAAACCTTTCATGTTTGAGCTTCAGTCATGCAATGATAGAACACCCATCACTCTACCAGTGCACATTTTCCACCACCAATGTTCCCAGTATCCCTACCCCCCCCCCCCCCCATCCCACCTCTCCCCCTGCCTCTATGGCAGACAGTTTCCCTGTTACTCTCTCTACTTATAGGTATTATGGTTTGCAATACAAATAATGAGAGGCCATCATGTTTGGTCCTTTATCTACTTTCAGCACACATCTCCCATCCTGAGCAATCCCTGCAACCATCATTGACTTAGTGATCCTTTCTCTATCCCATCTGGCTTCTCCCCCAACTCATAAGGCAGGTTTCCAGTCGTGGAGCACGCTGTGTTTTTTTTTCTTTTTAGGTCACATCCCGCAATGCTCAGGGGTTACTCCTGGCTCTGCCCTCAGGAATTACTCCTGGCAGTGTGCAGGGGACCCTATGGGATGCTGGGAATAGAACCCGGGTTGGCCATGTGCAAGACAAATGCCCTACCTGCTATGCTATTGCTCCAGCCCCGTTTGGGTCATTTTTAAAGCTGACCTGTGTGTGTTGATCTTACCAACCAGTGACACTTTAGTTTCTTCTGGGAAAACTTATACCAGCCCTTTGGAACTTTGGATGATTGAACAACATAAAAATAAGTTTCAATTAGAATTGTAATTTTGACTAATTGATTCACACCGTTGCCATTTTAGAAGATATGTGTGTAGGTATGTCTTCTCTAAATTAGATTTAAGAAGTGTTGCAGAGAAGAGAGCAGACCAATATGGACACATTAATTTTGCACATTTTATCTAACTCTTTAGGTGATCCAGGAGTTGGAACTTTACAACACAGGATATTACTTAGGCATGTTCATGAATTCTTTTGCAGTCTTCCAGGTAAGTTTACTTTGCTTTCTACTTTGAAGAGTTATTAATATCTTTTATTAAAGTAACCACATTATGGCAAATGAAAGCATTGTGTAACAGTAAACTTTCATTTAATGGGATATTGAAGCGTAGTGTGTTTTATATGTAATTTAAAATGGAAAGATGATTTTTCCAATCGTATAAGCACGTGGAAAAATTTAACATTAGCAAAATTAATGGGCCAGTGGATTTGTCATAACCAAATAATTTCTTTCCTTCATATTCTAATGACTGTGCATATCTCTTTACTCAGTATGTGTGTGCCATTTGTGTGTGGGTAAAGAGACAGTGTGTGTACACGTGAGAAAAGATATTTTACATGTATTTTCAAAATGAGAAAGAGTTAAAATAAATAATTTCACATTATGTATAATGAGAGCTAGAGTCAGTTAGGAGTATGGAGAACTGTTGTAATAAGTTCAAGAGCATTTAAACTTTTACTTTAAGAGCAAATTGATGGTGAATTGGTTTTGGGACATTGTACGCCTGAAACAACTCTATTAGGAACAACTTTGTTAATTATAATGTTTTATTAAAAAATTAAAGCAAACTAAAATGATTCATTTCAGGAATGTGGCCTCTGGGTATTTACAGATGCAAACCTGACGAAGGATTCATCCGATGGTATTTGTAAGTAAAATATAGCAATATGTCTGCCAAATTCTAAAGTCATTTATTGCTGATATTAAAAATTAGCTATTTCATTGAAAATATTTCTATAGGTATGGATACTTAGCTATTGAACCTGAATATTGTGCTTCTTAAATTTATTTTTATTTTTTTAATTTATTAAATCACCATGAGAACAGTTACAAAGCTTTCAAGTTTAAGTCTCCATCATACAATGATCAAACACCCATCCTTTCACCAGTGCACATTTTCCACCACCAAGAACCCCAGTATATGCCCTATCCCACTCCCTCCCTCTACTTATGTGGCAGATGATTTCCACTTTACTCTCTATTTTGATTACATTCAATATTTTGACAGAAGACCCACAATTATTATTTGGAATTTCCCCCCAACAATCAGGCCTGCCGGAAAGGCATCATTAGATAATTTGTTTTCTATTGCTGATTATGAAGAGCATATGATATCACATGGCTGAGATAGCCCTGTGTGATTTTGGATTTCTGATATTTTAGTAATTAAGTCTGGAGGGATTTTTTTAAAATTTTTTAATTTTTATTAGTGAGGTACCATGAGGTACAGTTGTAGACTTACAAATTTTTGTACTTGGGTTTCAATTATACAATGATCAAATACCCATCCCTCCACCAGTGCCCATTTCCCACCACCATGGATCCCAGTATTCCTCCCACCCCTTATACCCCCATCCCACCCTGCCTCTGTGGCAGGGCATTCCCTTTTGTTCTCTCTCTCCTTTTGGGTGTTGTGGTTTGCAAAAGAGGCATTGAGTGGCAATCATGTTTGACCTATAGTCTACTTTCAGCATGCTTCTCCCATCCTGGGAGGATCCTCCCAACAGCTTTAATTTGGTGCTCCCTTCTCTATCTGAGCTCCCTTTTCCCCCTAGCATTTGTGACTGGCCTCTAAGCCATGGAGCAAAATTCCTGGTACTAATCTCGGCCATTCTTGGGTGTTAGTCTCCTATTTTGTTACTTTATGTTCCCCATAGTCTGGAGGGATTTCTGCCAAAAGCCACTGGGTCCCAAGATTGATTTGTGTGCCTTGGGATCATGGCCATTCATGGGCCTGAACATGAATATTGTGCTTTTAATTTCGTTTCTTCTTGAATATTTTGTGGGCACAGCTCCAGAATTGTGCTCAAGGGACCTATGGGCCACTTCTGGCAATATACAGCCAAGTAGGCCAGTAGTTTAGTGCTTGGGCCAAGGATGCAGTGTTGTTTTAATGCTTCAGTGCTGGGGATCCTCACCTGAAGATTGCTCTTCTCCCAACATTTGAAGTGTCTCTCTTTCTCTCTCCCTTGTGTATTCCCTTTCTCCCTCACCTCAAATTCATCTAGTATTTTCCTTGGTTAACATCTTCAGTTTCATTACTTCTCCTAGGTACTCTGGGTAATTGGCTCCTTCTGCCTTTTTCTTTTTTTTCTTTTTGGAGGGTGAATTTTAGGCCACATAAACAGTGTCCAAGGATTACTTCCAGAAATGCATTGGGGGCCATATGTTGCCAGGATCAAACTCAGGCCTCCCAGGTGCAAAACTTGCTTGGTTTGCAGAGCCTAAACTATTTCTCTGATCCACCTGCCTTTTTGTCCCTCTAAGTTTTGGCCTGGACTAAATGTGTAACCAGTTTGCTGGGATTTTCTTCTCCAGTTCCTTGTCCATTCAGGATGTCTTCCTAATTCAGTCCAACTTGGGGACATCTCATTTGTTTATTTAAGTCCTTAGTTCCTTCACTGTGCAACCCCCACACACACTCCAGATTTTGTAAGTCACAAGCAAAGTTTATGATTTTTATCTTTTTACTATCTTTATCTTCTTTAATATAATTTTATTTTGGTGTGTGATTCTATGAATCAGTTTCACTTGACTTAGTGTTTCTGATTTCATATTACAATGAAATCAGAATTGCCAAGATGCTTAAATCAGAATCCTGGAACTCATCCTTAATTCTTATCTCTATTTTTGTCAGCGATGGAATAGCACAGTGACAAAGAAAGGAATTTACTGTCATGTATTTCTGACTTTGAGTTCTGACTTTATAATTTTGTGGCAAATCAGTTAAACTTTCTATATCTTATATTTCCCCCTAAAGACACCTACTAATATTTGATGTATTAAAGGGTTGTTATAAGGTTACATAAATTCAAACTCATGTACTGTACTTAGTACATATTTGTCACTTTCAAGGCTGAAATTACTGTGACCTCCCAGTTTTCGTTTATTTACTGTTCAATCAGTAAATGATAAGAATCATGTGTCTAGCATTTATGTAACAATGAAAAGTCCAATTTAATTTAGTTTAGCAAAGAAATACATAATTAGATGAGTGTGCTAAGGACTATCTTGGGGGAAATAGAAGATGCTACTGGCACATCCAAGGGAATCCAACCAAGAGGCAGAGCAAATTATTTCTTCTCTGCTCAGCTTCTTTCACCTGAAGGCCACTAACTAACTGTCCACTTTCTCCAGTTCTAAAACCACTAACCACATGGTCTAAAGACACTAAAAATGTGATCTTATGATGTGCCAGAGTTATCATTATTAAAGAGATACCTCAGTGGCTTAGTGCGTGCCTGGTATTCAGGAGGCCTGGGTTCCATCCCTGGTACCACATGGTCTCCTGAGCACCCCTGAGCACAGAGTTGGGAATAACCCCTGAGTACCACTGAGTGTGACCCTCCAAATAAGCATGGGTTAGATCATGTTTCTAATTTATTTTATTTACTTATAAAATTTTGTTTTTTGTGCCACACCCAGCTTTGCTTAGGGGCTACTCCTGGCTCTGTGCTTGGGGAGACCTTATAGTGCTGGAGATAAAATCTGTGTCTTCAGGGTGCAAAGCATGTGCTCCAGCCCACTGCGCTGTCTCTCCCACTTCACCTAATTTATTTTAAATGTTTAATAGGCAGGAGCGATAGCGCAGGAGTAGGGCGTTTGCCTTGCATACTGCCGACCTGGCCAAGCTGGGTTTGATTACTCTGCCCCTCTCAGAGAGCCCCACAAGCTACTGAGAGTATTTTGCCCGCACGGCAAAGCCTGGCAAGCTCCCCATGATGTATTCGATATGCCAAACACAGTAACAACAAGTCTCACAATGGAGACATTAGTGGGCCCTCTAGAGCAAATCGATGAACAACGGAAGGACAGTGGTACAGTACTACAGTTTAATAGGTGACCATTGCTTAAGGATTCTTTCTAATTTCCGTAGGTTGTGATACTTGATCTAATCATTCTAGAAAAATCATTCTTTGTATTCTTGTTACTTAATACTCATGATCATAACTGGGCACACTTTGTAGCTCACTATTTTATCTCCTTGTATAGAATACTCTTTGGAAGCTAAAGGAAAATCAAACACAAAAATCTTACTAGAAATTGGGATTCTCCTCCCCAGCTAAAATGTTTTCATTATTCATATTCTGTATTTACGCTTGAACATTCTTGATGTAATAGTAAATTTGTCTATGTCTGTTATCATTTTATCCTATATGTTACATTTTCTTTTTGTTCAGTTTACTGCATAGAATAAAAGAGTAACTTATTGGATTCATCTGGATATCCTTGGTATCTACTACAGCATAACTTTTTTTTTTAACACTTCATTTTGGAATGATTTTAGACTTTTAGAAAAGTTGAGAAAATAGTGATAAAGGACATGACTATTTTGAGACTTTTTTGGGTTTGTTTTTGGGTCACACCCTCCTGTGCTCAGGGCTAAGTCCCAGCATGCTTAGAAGAACCACTGTGGGTACAGGATTCAAACCTGAGTCAGTCGCGTTCAAGGCAAGTGCCTTACCTTCTATTTTATATAACTTACTCCCTGCCTCCTGGAAACTGAGAAGATGTCAAGACTTATATAGCCAATAGTAATCAGCAATAGAGGGCAAAAAAGAGAGCTGGAGGATATCTTGTTAAACAAAAAAATTCAGAGAGGGAAGAACCAGTAGTGGATGATTTCACTCATCTGTGGAATATAGAGTAACAAAACAAGGGAATAGACACAATCAAACAGTGACAAATCTTTGGCCTCAAATTATAAAACTGATTAGCAAATAGTCAGAGGAAGGTTGGAGAAATGAAGGTAAGACCATAGGGAGATATGGGAACAGGGTCAAGAACACTTTGGTGGTGATGGGGTGCAGAATTTTTTTGCATCAAGACCATAAAGTTAAACACTCTCATTACCATATTACCTAAGCTTTAAAAAATTGCAGCAAAAAATCGAAGGACTGTTAAAAATGACTTATTAGTGACTGAACTACAAAGTGTGATTTTTTTCTCTACAGTGACTTTTCCCCTAACAGTTCTTAATATTTTCTTTTTAGATGACACACACGATTATTATCCTTGGAGATTTATGGACAATGAATATGAGTTGGAATTGCAAGAGTCTAATGAAGCTTCTGCGTTTGACAAGCCACGGGTCAGGAAGCACTTTCCAGAGACTTGGATTTGGCTCGACGCGGACATGGGGTAAAATTTGTAAAGTTTTTTGCCTACATATATATCACGATCACGACCACCCTGTTGTTCGTCGATTGCCTCGAGCAGGTGCCAGTAACGTCTTCTTCGTCCTAGCCCTGAGTTTTTTTTTTTTTTAAAGTGCCATATTCAAGGCTTTTTCAGGGTTAGGAGAATAAGACCCATCATTGTTACTGGTATTTGGCATATTGGGTATAACACGGGGAGTTTGCCAGACTCTGCCGTGTGGGCATGTTATATTTGGTAGCCTGCCAGTTTGACCAAATTAGGAATGAGATGATAAGATGTCCCATGGCCGCGCGCTTCCGGGAGCTGAGTGTGATAATCTCTGGATCCTGGCCGTTGTTGGAGTTACACGGCAGTTGGTGGGTGTAACTGTCTAGTTACTGGCAGGTCCAGTCCCAAACTGTGCAGGCTTGGAGATCTCAGCCCCGGGTCCCACACACCTGGGTTCCTCTGTCAGTTCTTTTATGCGTGAGGCTCATCCAAGTGTGTGGAGAGTGCTCCCAGCATGACCTTGGCTGGGCCTCGATGGTCTTCAGCTGTTGGGCCCTGGTGGAGACAGTCAGGCATAGGGTAGGAGACTCTGTCTTGTTCTCTCCCAGGAGCTGAGTGTGATGATCTCTGGATCCTGGCCGTTGTTGGAGTTACACGGCAGTTGGTGGGTGTAACTGCCAGTAACTCTGGCAGGTCCAGTCCCAAACTGTGCAGGCTTGGAGATCTCAGCCCCGGGTCCCACACACCTGGGTTCCTCTGTCAGTTCTTTTATGCGTGAGGCTCATCCAAGTGTGTGGAGAGTGGTCCCAGCATGGCCTTGGCTGGGCCTCGGTGGTCTTCAGCTGTTGGGCCCTGGTGGAGACAGTCAGGCATATATATATATTTTCAGTGTTAGTTTTAAATAATGTTTGCTTACTTTCTGATGATATATAAGTACAAATGCAGTGTGATTAAGAACTAGATAGATTCCTGGGATTTTTTATTGTGTAATATTTATAATCTCTAAACATAATATAGCCACACGCAGTTTTTGGGAGAGAATATCATCAGGAAGAAGACAGACCTTTTTCTCATGATTTAACCTTTTTGAAGTCTCAGGGTTTCCACTGGAGAAAACTTGTTCAAAATACATTTGTACCTCAAATAGGACACACCTCTGATTACTTCCTCTTACTTATGACTCATCATAAAAGATGTCCAGTAGCTACAGGGAGAAGGGACCCGGGTGGTGGGAGGAATTCAGTACTGCCAACAAACTCTGTGCTACCCGTGTCATGACTGAGCAGGTAAATAATATAGTCTACATGTATTTTCCAGCTAGTCATTTATAGAAACTTGAAATAAGACACAAGAGAAACCTAAGAGAAAAATGCAAATAATAACTTTGAATTACAGAGGAAACATGAAAGCTAAGAGAAATAAATTTTAAATGTTTAAAAGCATATATTTATCACCCAGACATATATATTTTTAATTTTTATTAGTGAAACACCATGACTTTCTAGTCTCCAGAATGAACATTGCCTTCAAAAATATGTAGTACTATGTACTATGGGAGTACTATGTAGCTGTCACCCAGACATATTTTTGAGGGCAATGTTCATTCTGGAGACTAGAAAGTCTTTAGAACACTTTAGAAAACAATTTAGAAAAATCGTATTTAAATATAGTTTCATGTGGAGTGTTATTAACCATATTATGATGACCTGTTCCTTGAGAATTGGGGATCTACTATTTTATGTTTAAATTTTAAAAAATTTAGATTTGCAAAAAAAATTTAGATTTGCAAATGACTTATTTTTCCCACAAATGGTTTGTTATGTTGACATATTTTGACTTACGTGTCAATTCTCAGTCTTGTGATCATCATGTTTATCTTGACTTTAGTTCTAGAACTTTACAAGAATTTGAAGTGACTGTACCTGATTCCATCACTTCTTGGGTGGCAACTGCTTTTGTGATCAATGATGATTTCGGACTTGGACTAACAACGACCCCAGTGGAGGTAGAGTAATAAAGTGCTACTTCTAAACCCAGACCATCAAGAGTGTAGATTAAGAAAAACGGTTTCTTAGGAGTACAGTTTAGCGATTCCTTGATTAATCTCTCTCTCTTTTTTTTATGTTTTATGTTTTAGCACATGAACTTACTAAATTGCTAAATATTCAAGACTCTTAATAAGATTTGGGAAATTTACTATTAACCAAATCTGACCACTTCCAAAGGCCAGTAGTGACTTCTGTCTTTCCTTCTTTAAGGAGGAGCAAAACTTCTTAAGATGTCTCCTGATATTTATTTCTTCCATATTTTTGGTTACAAATTATATCTTATATCACTCCTTAAACAAGTCACTGGCAAGAGGAATAGAATGACCAAAATTAAGTTAGTAGCTCTCACCTCTGTCCTACCAGAAGCCCCTTTTCTAGAACAGATACTTTTTTGTGTGTCTAGACCATCCAAAATGAAGTGAGTATTTAAAAAGATCAACATGATGCTCAAAATGAAAGCCCCTAGTAATTAAAGAGATCAACGTGATGCCCAAAATGAGCGGCCCCCAAACTTATTTGGCCTACCGCCCCACTTTCAGAAAAAAATTAACCAGTCCTTTTCCTGGAAACTTCCTTCTTTAATTTAGCAAACAGAAAGTGGTGCCAATTGTACACAGTACTACTAAAGCCTCATGGATTGGTTCAGCACCTCTCCCTCCACCAGGGGCAGTACTGCCCCCTTTGGGAAACAATAAGTGAAATAAATACCAAAGAGAAAAAAAAAACGAACGCAATAGGTCTTAATATAATATGTAGGGACTGGAGTGATAGTACAGCACGTAGGGCATTTACCTTGCACGCGGGTTCGATTCTCAGCATCCCATATGGTCCCTTGAACACTGCCAGGAGTAATTCCTAAGTGCAAAGCCAGGAGTAACCCCTGTGCATCGCTGGGTGTGACCAAAAAATAAATATTGGAGTATGTGAGAGATCAGGCATAGCTGCACCAGGAGGCATAGTAACATAAGCATTGTGTAACAGCTGCAGATGTAGCTGGTTATGTGTGTGTTGTTCTGGTCACAGAAAAATCTTGAGTGACACTACTGCCTGTGCAGATGTAAGTTCCAGAAACTTTGAATAACTCTTACAAACCAACAAGCTGAAGTATTCTCTTGATTTACAGAAAAGCCCGATTAATGAAAAATTCAATGTGTTTTGGAATTTTTTTTAATCAGAATTATGTTGCAAGCTCAGTTCATTACAAACAGGTATAATCTTCATGAATGTCCCATAAAGGGACATTCAAGACTCAGGAGGGACATGGGACAGTTCTTCCCTCTCCAAGACTGTCTTGAGTACTGCAGACCTTCACCTTGTTAAGTGCCAATTGCATCTTCTAATCCTCGTGGTGCTTCCACAGAGGTCTAGCTGGACCTTAGGAGAGAACTGTGGCTCTTTTGGAGCGTCTATCACCTAAACTAATTGAGGTTTATTCCCAGAGGCAGCATAGAGGTTTAGGTCTTACAATGAGCAAGTGCACATGTATGTGTCTTTGTAGAAGGCTGCAAGCAGAACCTCATTTAGACTTTCCATGGGAGTCCAAAATTGGGTGTTTCCTGGAGAGAGAGTTCAGGATTAAGGCATTTGTTTTCCATCTTGCCAAGGACTGTGGTTAAAATCCCTGGTGCCACATATGGTCTCTGGAACACTGCCAGGAGTTACTCCTGAGCACAGAGCCAGGAATAACCCCTGAGGAATCCTCAGTGTGGCCCGACCCTCCCCCCAAACCCTCATGATTAAAATAAAATAGGGACCCTGGATTCCCCCCCCCCCCCCAAATCCTTACAGTGATCAGGAGATCAGTGTTGCCAGAGATCGAACCCAGGGCCTTACATATGCAGGGATCATAATGAACCATGAGAGTGACATACCTCACTTTGGCCAGTGGGTTTTATTTTGGTTTTGGGGCCACAGCTGGCAATGCTCAGGGGTTACTCCTGGCTCAGTGTTCAGGAATTACTGCTGGCAGTCCTTGGGGAACCATATGGGATACTGGGATCAAACCCGAATTAACCACATGCAAGGTAAATGCCCTACTCTACCTGCTGTATTACTGCTCCAGCCCCTGACCAGTGGTTTTTAATACAAATGGAGGCAGCGTAGTTAGAGGAAAATGACTCGCTTTTGTCCCAGACCTTTTGAGTCTCAGAAATTCTGGCTTCTCCCCTTGCAGGCAATGTGCTCTTGTTCCAGATAGATTGATTTCTGAACTTCAGATGTATTTTCTGTAAAATATGAGCATGTCACCTGCCAGGTGGGGTTGTTATGCTTAAATAAAATAATTTGTGTAAAGTGCTTGGTTTCTAGTAGACAACCTAATGACGTGATTATATTAAATAACACAAATAAAATAAATTTGCCATCATTCATTTGGGGTAAGATGCTATTTACTTTCATTTGGTAAGAATTATTTTTTGGGTGAAATTATCCACTTCAAAGGTTTTGTGAGTTATTTTTTTCCAACTGCATACAAAATATGAAGGATGTTGACTTGAATGAAATACGGATTTATTCTGTTCTTTCCAGCTACAAGCCTTCCAACCATTTTTTATCTTTCTGAATCTTCCCTACTCTGTGATCAGAGGTGAAGAATTTGCTTTGGAAGTAACCATATTCAACTATTTGAAAGAAGCAACGGAGGTAATATATTCAAAGCTTTGTTCATTTTTGCTTCAGAAATAAAGGGAGAAACAGCCAAGGGTTGGTTTTGTGTCCTATGGGTACTGGGGTATCGAATCACTTGATACTATGGTGATAGGAAGTCTGGAGAATGCTGCATTATTTATTTTTTTGAATTTTTAAATTATTTTATTGATTTTTATTTATTTTATTTTATTTTTTAAAAAATTTTTTAATAGTGAGACATCATCAGGTACAGTTGCAGACTTATACATTTTTGTGCTTGGATTTCAATTATACAATGATCAAATACCCATCCCTCCACCAGTGCCCATTTCCCACCACCACGGATCCCAGTATCCCTCCCACCCCCCATGCCCCCCATCCCACCCTACCTCTGTGGCAGGGCATTCTCTTTTGTTCTCTCTCTCCTATTGGGTGTTGTGGTTTGCAAAAGAGGCAATGGGCGACAATCATATTTGGTCTACAGTCTACTTTCAGCATCGGAGAATGCTGCTTTAGACATTCTTCAGCCAGTAGGAATGAACAAAAATATATATTGTCCAGTGATTTCTTTTGCTTATTAATGTCTCATAATCTTTTCAACCCATCTAACCATTCTTTCCTCAACTTTGAACTGGCTTCTCTACTTTATCATGAAGTTCCCTGGTATCTCTGATTCACATCTTTCTTTTTTCTCCTGGTCTCCTCACAGCTGGAATGCATTGCTACTTCTCACGGCTGTTTGGTGCCCTTGGCAGTTGACACGAGAGTGTACTTCTTTCGAGGCCTCTCTCAAAAACCAAGAAACTTTTCCTTAAGGCATCTCACACATGCTATTTGTTGTCTTCTTGTTTGTACAGTTTGTTTTGTTTTTAAGACTTTACATTTTGGATTATGTGTCTTGTGCCTCTTGGCTTGGTACTTTCCAGGGAACAGAGATTAGGACCCTGTTCACGCGGTGCCCATAGATGTGTTGATCCCATGGTTTATTCCTCCTTCCTAGGGAATACAGGGAAGTTTATTGCATAAATGCTTTGTTATCCTTAAGCATTTTCTCGTTGTTCTTACCTTTGAGTCAAAGAGCAGAAGTTGTAATCAGAATAAAGAGCAAAAGATCCAGAATCCAAAGACCTGTGTTCTGCGCCCAGTTCTACTGTCTAGCAGCAATTTACTCATAGCTTTCTCATATGTAACATGAAAATATTTAATATTACCTTACCAAAAATATCTTGAGAAACAGATGATAAAAAAATGGGAAAACAGTTTACAAAATTCAAGGTCCAAAGAAATGCATTTTTTCCTTTTTTTTGGGTAAAAACATTTTATTTTGAGCCATTTTTATTGAGGTACTGGGATTTACAAAACTGTTAATTAAAGTTTTCATAGATACATACTCCAACACACACCCATCACCAGAGAGCTGGTTACCCTCACCAGGGTCCCATAAGACACCTCCCAATTTCCACTCCCATGTAAGCTCAGCTTCATAGGTAGAAGAAAAATACTCTCTTTGATGAAACTGATAAATTATACATTCTTTTCTGTTTTTGGACCATAATCCATGGCGCTCGGGGGCTATACCCTGCTTTGTGCTTGAGGAGCACTTCTGAAGGTGCTGAGGGGACCATGTGGTGCTGGGGATCAAACTCGGGGTTCCAGCATGCAAACAGTGCACTCCATATAGCATTGTAGCACTGTCCTCCTATTGTTCGTTCATTTGCTCAAGCGGGCACCAGTAACCTCACCAGTAACCTCACCAGTAACCTGTCCAACCTCACCAGTAACCTATCCATTGTGAGACTTGTTACTGTTTTTGGCATATGAATACGCCACGGGGAGGTTGCCAGGCTCTGCCGTGTGGGTGGGATTCTCGGTAGCTTGCTGGGCTCTCTCAGAGGGACAGAGGAATCGAACCTGGGTTGGCCGCATGCAAGGCAAATGCCCTGCCCGCTGTGCTATCGCTCCGTGTCCTGTACTATCGCTCCATGTGATAGCACTCTATATTACAGTTCCAATTTTGATTTCTGTTTTTTAAAAATATATAAGTTTTTTTTTATCACCAAGTTTTCAGATCAATGAGTCATACTTTCCCTAGGATAATTTTGACAGAGCCTCTCAATTTAATAGCATTTTATGCTATCTCGGATTTTTCTAATAAAGTCAGTGTTCTTGGATGACATAGTTAAGTCAACTGGTGGCAATACTGTGCTGAAAACTCTTTTTTTTTTGGCATGTTCAGCAACTCCGATTTGGGATCATAAAGGATTTAGTGGTAGTGAGGGCTTATTAAATTACTGTTACTAGAATTTAACATAGAAAATGACACTGAAGAATGACCTTTAGGCAGTGGTGAAAAGCATGGAAAAGGATACAACCTGCGAATGCTTTCCTTGCCTCAGATTCCCAGTTTCATCTTTCTCTAATCTGGTTTGATACTTAAAATGATAGTAAGAGTGGACTTGAACCACTTTCACAGAACCGCTTTGATAATTTTTTTTTTCTTTCAGGTTAAGGTAACCATTGAGAAAAGTGACCAATTTGAAATTCTAATGACGTCCAATGAAGTCAACGCCACAAAGCATGAGCAGACCATTCTGGTTCCCAGTGAGGATGGGAAAACTGCTTTTTTCCCTGTCAAGCCAACACAACTGGGGGAAATTCCTATCACAGTCACAGCTATCTCGCCTGTTGCTTCTGATGCTATCACACGGAAGATTCTTGTGAAGGTAAAATCTGAAGTCTTAATGAAAGGGAATGGAAATGCCCAATGACAACAGAAGGTGTTTTTTTTTTTTTGTGGTTAAATGTGTTGGCAATGTTTCACAGATAACTTTCTCTACATTCCCTTTATTTATTTGCGGAGTCTCCCAAGAAGAGATCCCAAGATCAGGGATCACTCCTAGCAGTGCTGGGGTGTGGCTATGCTGTGTTGGGGATTGAACTTGGGGCCCAACCCCATTAGAAAGTAAGAAGGGTGAGGAGACAACTCACGAGCCAGGGTTGCATACAAGTCCTTAATTGTTTACTCAGTTGTATGTAAGGCCATATAACATAAATGTTTTAGCAGTAATTGCCAGTTTCATACTTATAAGTTTAGAGTATGACTACCAAGTCAGTCCTTTACTGCCAGTTACATTTAAAAACTGTGTTGTAATTCAATCCACCTTGCATATTAAGTTATATCAGATTGTGCATTTGGAATTTTGGAATTTCTCAGTACAAACAGAAGAGTTGTAGGATTTTTTTTTCTTTTTGGGTCACACCTGATGATGCACAGGGGTTCCTCCTGGCTCTGCACTCAGGAGTTACTCCTGGCGGTGCTTAGGAGACCATATGGGATGCTGGGAATCGAACCCGGGCTGACAGCATGCAAGGCAAACACCCTACCTGCTGTGCTATATCTCCTGCCCCGAGATGTAGGTTTTTTTTTTTTCCCTTTATTTTATTTTTTTTTTTTAAAGTTGTAGATTTACAATTTTTTGTGCTTTGGTTTCAATTATACAATGATCAGATACCCATCCCTCCACCAGTGCCCATTTTCCACCACCATGGATAATATCCCTCCCACCCCCATCCCCCCATCCCCCCTGTCTCTGTGGCAGGGCAATCCCCTGTGTTCTCTCTCTCCTTTTGGGTGTTGTGGTCTGCAAAAGAGGCATTGAGTGGCAAACATGTTCAGTCCATAGTCTACTTTCGACATGCGAGATGTAGGTTTTTATTGAGAGAAGACATTCACTTTTATCACATTTATTGCGTGTTGCCTGTTCATCTATTTGCTCGAGCAGGCACCAGTAACGTCTCCATTTGTCCCTGTTGTGTGCTAGTGTTGCCCAGTGGTGTATTGGGGGCTCTTTCAGGGTCAGGGGAATGAGACCTGTTATTGTTACTGTTTTTGGCATATCGAATACGTCACGGGTAGTTTGCCAGGCTCTGCCGTGTGGGCAGGATACTCTCGGTAGCTTGCTGGGCTGTCCGAGAGAGAGAAGACATTGTGCACAAGAAAACTACTTAGCATAGTGGGGAAGCTTGTAGGTTCTGGGGTGAGAGCCCTGCATTCAAATCTCAGCTCTGCCAGGTATGACTTTGGGTCAGGTATTTAGTTTCTCTCTGGCTAATAACAGTATCACTTTAGAGAAATTTTTCCATGCCATTTTTCTCATCTTTGTCATTGTTGTTCTACAAAATGTTTAGCTTACTTTAATTGGCAGCGAACCACTTAGGAGCAGATTTGATGCAAGAATGGAGGAAGGGTAGGTACTTCTCTAACTCTGAGCAAATGGCCAGAAACAGCTTATTATCCGCATACAGTTCTCTGTCCAAAGATGAGTGAGACTATACTCACTGTGTTCCCTATTTTTCCACAGGCTGAAGGAATAGAAAAGTCATATTCACAGGCTGTTTTATTGGACTTGACTGACAGCAGTCTACAAACCACCACAAAAACTTTGGGTTTCTCATTTCCTCCTAATACAGTGAATGGCAGTGAACGAATTCAGATCACAGCAGTTGGTAAGAAGAGAATGTATCACGATCAACATCATTACTGGGTCTTTGTGTGTGCCAGTCTGTGTTTAAAATTTATTTATAGATATAGTTGCTTACCTTAAAAATTGTGTTGAGACCAAGCCCTTTGAGGCTGAGGTGAGGCGAGGTGAGGCGTGAAGTGCAGGGGCTCAAACCCAGGGCCTGGAGTATGCAAACCATGTGCTCTCTCACTTGAGCTACATCCCTGACCATGGAGATGTGTGTGTGTGTGTGTGTGTGTGTGTGTGTGTGTGTGTGTGTGTGTTTTATTCCTAAATGAGAAGAGATTGTGCAGCAAGATCTTTGCTGGTAACAACTACTGCTCGTTTTAGGCAGGATATAGTAAGATGTGTTTCCTAGACCCGCTCTTTTCCATGCTTAATGTGAATTACCCAAAATCTTGGGCAAAGAAAAAGAAGCGGAAACAGATTACGGTTTAGTAGGTACAAACCTGAGGCACTGGCGGTCCCACGAGCTTCAAGGTGGCACTCATGCTCTGGGGAGCAGCAAACTCTTTTTTTAAATTTTTTAAAAATTTTTATTAGTGAAACACGATGAGGTACAGTTGTAGACTTACAAATTTTTGTGCTTGGGTTTCAATTGTACAATGATCAAACACCCATCCCTCCACCAGTGCCCATTTTCCACCACCACCAGTCCCAGTATCCCCATCCCCCCATCCCACTCTGCCTCCATGGCGGGGCATTCCCTTTTGTTCTCTCTCTCTCCTTTTGGGTGTTGTGGTTTGCAAAAGAGGCATTGAGTGGCAATCATGTTTGGTCTATAGTCTACTTTCAGCATGCTTCTCCCATCCTGGGAGCATCCCCCCAACACCCTTTATTTGGTGCTCCCTTCTCTATCTGAGCTCCCTTTTCCCCTAGCATGTGTGGCTGGCCTCAAAGCCATGGAGCAAAACTCCTGGTACTAATCTCAGCCACTCTTGGGTGTTAGTCTCCTATTTTGTTACTTTATGTTCCCCAGATGAATGCAATCTTTTTATGTCTGTCCCTCTGAGCAGCAAACTCTTTAAGCAACAAGATTTGACTACAGGGAGAGAACAGGAGCCTTCTGTGGCCTTTCTAGTGGCGAATCTCTGGTAACCTTGTGCTTTTGAATCCTGTATCAAACAGCTGTTGCACATCATGGCTCACATGTGGTTGCAGTTAACAAGTAACTGAAGGAAGTATTTAAGTTCATGACATCTAGTTTTGTTTTTGTTTTTGGGCCACACCCAGCTGTGCTCAGGGGTTACTCCTGGCTCTGCACTCAGGAATCATTCCTGGAAGTGCTTGAGGATATAGGGTGCTGGGGATCGAACTCGGGTCATCTATGTGCAAGGCAAACACCCTCCTCACTCTACTGTCTCTCTGGCCCTTTGTTAATTCTACAAGGTGTCAAAACTGAAGGTGTGTTTCAGAGGTTGTTTTGAAATCTCATTTGCAGGAAAATTACTTGTTACTGTGGTTTCAAACATGATATCCTTTACATAGGATTTCATTCGGAGCCTTAGATATGGCTCTGAAAAAGAACCAAGGAGGATTTTGATCTCTCTTTTTTTGGTGGTGACAGTGGCATGGGTCGGGGTCATGGGCACACATGGTGATGGTCAGGGCTTTGTGCTTAGAGGTAACTTCTGGAAGGCTTGGAGAACTACATGGGGTCTTAGAAATTAAACCATGTTTAGCTACGTGCAAGGCAAGTGCCTTGCCCACGGTACTATCTCTCTCCAGCCCTGGAAACTCAGTTTAAGACATCAGATGCAAGTACAAATGCTACCTACTCATTTGAAGAAGTCTTTCTTTCTTTTTGGATGTTGTAAGTGGATTTTTTTTTCTCATTCTTGCTTTGGATAACCTGGCAGGCTACCGAATGTAACCTGCCCACACGGCAGAGTCTGGCGAACTCCTCATGGCGTATCCAATATGCCAAATACCAGTAACAATGATGGGTCTCATTCTCCTAACCCTGAAAGAGCCTTGAATATGGTACTTTTTAAAATCCCAGGGCTATGGCGAAGGAGACGTTACTGGTTACTGCTTGAGGCAATGGACGAACAATAGAATGATCTTGATCGTGATTTTTTTTTTTTGGATGGGGGGTGTTTGGCCATACCTGGCAGTCCTCAGGGCTTATTCCTACTCCCGGATCTGCTCTTATGGATCACTGCTGCAGTTTCCTGTGACCAGATGGGGTTCAGGGGATCGACCTTGAGGTGAGAAGCATGCAAGGTAAATGCTGTACCTGCTGTAATATTACTTCAACATCAGATCATAAGATTTGTATGTTGGATGGTTCTAGTCTATACTATAAAGAAGGATACCATTCTTCATAAAGTTCAGTCATAGTGGGGTCAGAAATAAAAATAGAACTCCATCCCTAAATTTCTGATTTTTCATACATTCTCTGAATTGTGGTATTAAAATGTGGGCAAGGAAGTCTTTTTTTTTTTTAATTTAACATGTTTTATTTATTGATTTAGTTTTGGGGCCACATCTGGTGTGCTCAGGGCTTACTCCTGACTCTGCACTCAGAAATCACTCCTGGTGGGCTTGGGGACCCTATTGGGTACCAGGGATCAAATCTGTGTTGGCCACGTGCAAGGCAAAAAAGTGCTTACATTGCTATAATGTTTTTCTGCCCCCCTCAATGCATTTTAATTTTGTGTAGTTAAAATCCTTACCCAAACAATTTTATGTTGTGGTATTTACATTTTAAATGCATTTCTAATATTATAGATTTTTTTTAGATTTTTATTAGTGAAACACCGTGAGGTACAGTTGTAGATTTACAAACTTTTGTGCTTGGATTTCAGTTATACAATGATCGAGTACCCATCCCTCCAAGGCAAGGAAGTCTTTTAAGCATTACTTTACTTTTAAAAAAATTTTATTTTATAAAGTAGCTCACAATATTTAATTTCATTTAATATTCAAACACCAATCCCACCACCATGACACCTTCCCACCACCATATTTAGGATATTTCCATCCTGAACCCCAACCCCAAAGCAAAACCAAAATAATATATTATGTATTGTTTGTTATGAAAAACTGCTGAAAATGCTACAAAAAGTTTCCTTAGAGAAAAGAGTGTGAAGATTGTTGTATTTCAACAAGGGACCATTAAGCCCTTCTATAAGAGATCACTAACATGTTGTTAAAGGTTGAAACTTGTGTGCATATATATATATATATATACACACACATATCTATGTATATGTATATGTATATATATCTGTAATAAAAAATATTTCCCTCTTAGATTGGTTACCTTCTACTTTGAATCCCATCAAATGTGGTGCGGTACTCTTGGAGTATGGGTAGGATGTATGATATGAAGTGTCCAGGAATAGGTTCACTCATGGGTGAGGCTTGTCCTGAGCTTGTGGAGAGTGGCTATGATCATGGTGACAGTTGACTTCTGGAGATTTTTGGCTGCCAGGGCTGGGTCCTTTGGGATGGGGACGGGCCTCACCTGCCCCCCTCCAGGATGCCCCAAAAGAGACAACCTGGCACAGAGACCGGCAGCATGGTTATGGCGTGCGTCATGTTATGCTCCCTTCTGGGAGAGAAGGACATGTGATCTGGATGGTGGCTGATGAGGAGATGATCTGGTGCAAGCCAGAGGTGGCTTATGGGCATGACTGCTGAGTCACTGGAGACAGGGGGATATGGGCAGAGGATCTCAGTTCTTGGTACCATTGAACCCAGAGTTCTGAGTCACAAAGTCCTGCATACGTGGGTTTTCTGGGGATTCACTTGTGGGTGAGGCTCAGCCCGAGTATATGTATTTTACTTAATTTTGATTACTAGCTTTGAAGAATATTCACATTTCTTTTTGATTCTGAAATTCATTGAAATACTTATACTTGTTATTTCTGCTTTGCTATTGCGAACTGTAACACATTGAACAGTACTGCCCTTAAAAATTCAGATCTTGGGCCAGAGAGATGGTACAGGGTTAACCCAGGTACTTGTTTGGCCCATGATTAGCCCCAGTTCTAGTCCCAACATGACTTGTGGTCCCCTGAGCCCTGCCAGGAGTAATCCTTGTGCTCAGAGTCAGGAGTAAACCCTGAGCACCACTGGGTATGGTTCAAAACAAAACATACAAAAAATTACTTCTGAGTGTAGTCTGTTATTTATGTGGAAAACTCTACTGGTAAGATAAATGATAGTTACTTTCTTACATTGTATTTTATGTTTTTAAATTTTTATTTATTTTAATTTTAAATACAAGATAACCTTGTATTTTTTTAAAGAGTGAGTCTTTAAATTACTTTTCAGGTTTAGTTTATGTGATATCTTTAAGCTAAAAGTCTACTTCATTTTTTAATCTACAAGTTTGATACCATTGTTTTCTTACTTATTTGATTTTTCAAAAGCTTAATGTAAAGTTTCTGCTGTGTTCCAAGCAGTGGAATAATCAGTTACTTCATTGTCAGATGCCTCTGTGCTCTGGAAGTTTCTTTGCCACCACTGAGATCAGTTTGTGAATATTCACTGAGTGTTCTGTATGTCTTTCGCTTTCAGGAGATATTCTTGGTTCTTCTATCAATGGTTTAGACTCACTAATTCGTATGCCCTATGGCTGTGGTGAACAGAACATGATAAATTTTGCTCCAAATATATATGTCTTGGATTATATGACTAAAAGGAGACAACTGTCAGAAAATTTAAAAGAAAAAGCCCTTTCATATATGAGACAAGGTAAGCATTTCATATACTTTCAGATTTTAAATATTTTTTTTCTTTTTGTCTTTGCTATATATATATATATATTTTTTTTTTGGGGCCAGGATGTTGTTAAATGTATGCAGATTAAAGCAGTGGGAAAATGTCACCATGTACCCCTCCGCGAATTGTTTATTAATGACTGTTAAGGTGTTTGGGAGTTAGTAGCAATATAAGGGGTTAGTTTCTGGAAGGGCTTGCATTTTATTAAGGAACCTGAAATTGCAAAAACTCTTTGAAAAACTAAAGGAAGAAATATTCCTTTCTTTATTGCACACTTACAGCATTGCTTCTGGTTGCCAAGTTTGGCTTGATGCTGAGGAAACAGTCTGTTAGGCCTGTCTCCTCATGGAGCATCTGCTCGGAGATGAGACTCTCTGTGGTGGAAACCATCTCAGCACCTGTGAAACATCAAACGGATAGGGCTAGGAGAGACTTGTGGGTAGGAGGGGTCTCGCTGGCCTTTCAGGGGACATGTGAGGGTGATGCTTCTACCCAGACTGCTCAAGTGGCAGATAATGTTTACAGATACCAGATGTATTGCATCTGCCATTTGCCAAAAATAACGGTTGATATTCCTGGGTGCTGGTGTGTTGCACTGATGTTCTAAGTACCTTACACCTGATATATCATTTAACACGGGAGATTCGTTATTGGTGTTACTTTCCTACTTCTGCTTTTGTTTTTGAGACATGCCTCGTGGTGTCTGCACCACTGAGATGGGCTTTGATGGCCCCTGAGAACCAGTGTCTGAGCACCTGCAGGCCTGCAGCCTGTGCCAGTGGGTTTCCAGAAGCTTAGTGGGTTGCGACCCATATTAAAGAAAATGATGCACTGAAGTACTGTTAACACTGTCATCCCATTGTTCATCAATTTGCTCGAGCGGGCACCAGTAATGTCTCCATCGCGAGACTTGTTGTTACTGTTTTTGACATAATGAATATGTCACGAGGAGCTTGCCAGGCTCTGCCGTGCGGGTGGGATACTCTCGGTAGCTTGCCAGGCTCTCCAAGAGGGACAGAGGCATCGAACCTGGGTCGGCTGTGTACAAGGCAGATGCCCTACCTGCTGTGCTATCAATCCAGCCCAAAGAACATAATAATAAAAAAGTAGTGCATTTGTGTCCTAGATACTTTGCTCTGGGTCTAAACAAACGTCCATTCCAAATTCAGTGTCTCTTTCATTTTATTCTAAATGGGCCAATGCTAGCCTATTGCTTGGCAAACAGCAGGTATTCAAGGCAGCTCTCTGGGCCACTCTGTCGCCTCATCCTGGAGCCTTTTTCATGCGTGCAAACTGCTGGGTGCACTGAGGGCCAGAGGAAAGTAAAAGCATTCAAGTACTGTATCATTTCCAAGACCGCATCATGAGAGTTGCCCAGCCACTGGGAGAAGGCCGAGGCCCCCTCGGGAGAGACTGAGCCGTGGTCTCCAGCCATGGAGGCCTCTAAATTCTGCCCCTGCTTTGACTGGTGCCCCCAAGACGGGCTGAATACCTACTTCAGTTGGACTTATTGAAGATTAAGCAGGATATCTTGTCACAACTTTTTTTTTTGGTTGTTGGACCGCCCCGGCAGTACTCAGGGCTTACTTTTTGGGCTCTGCTCTCAGGATCACTTCTGGAGGTGTTCAGGGACTATATGGGGTGCCAGGGATCAAACCCAGATTAGCTCTGTGCAAGGTAGTTGCCTTATTGGCTATACCATTAGCCAATTTTTATCCCTTGAAAGACCTTGTAGTAGTTGCCCAATAAAAATCAGCTCTAGTATGGTTGGTTGCGTCGAAGTATGGTTGGTTGCACCTAAGTAGAGAGTGGGGGTCTGAAGTCAGCAAGTCAGTCATGCTCATTCTCCCTCCCTCCCTCCAACCCTCCTTCCTTCCTTCCTTCCTTCCTTCCTTCCTTCCTTCCTTCCTTCCATATGGGAATGGGTATCCAGGGCTTCACACATGAAGGATATGTTCTATCACTGAACCACATTCCTTACTATACTATTTAATTTTCCATCACACTTTAGATTATTTAAAATAATCTGCAATTTATCCATATATTTATCCATTTAACTATTGCACTAGATGATAAGCTCCTGACAGTTGGTCATATTTGAGCTCTTCTTTATATCCTTATGTAGGCATATAAATAGATGCATAATGGACCAATGAATGACACTATGAAATTCTATTATTTTTAGGCCCATCTTCTAAATGTTGTTTCTGAATCTAGACTATCTTTCAAGTCCTTCTACAATGCAGTGGCAATTTGTGAAAGTTCTAGATGCCTATGGCATATCCTTATAGCTGAGAAATGTGACCAGTGGTTTAACTGTGTTAACTTTGGAACTGGTGAAGAGGCTGATAGAAGTCAGCACAATAGAACTTCTCAACACATGTCATTTACACGCACACATTTATAAACACACTGAAATAAGTTGTATTTCAAAGTAGCAGACAAAACCTTCTCGGTGTACTGCTTTTTATTATGAATTAGTGTCTCATTTTAGAGACTCTAGTTGCCATCACATTTGTCAAAGTCCTTTAAATATACCATCATTGTTCTTATTTTTTACAAAATTAAAGTGGCTTTCTCATGAGTCATGATTATATTATGTAAATGTCACTTAGGAACAGTGCATTGTTTTACTTAAATCATGCTTAACCCAGGAATCCTAACCCATTGCTAAAAGCAATTTATTTATTTATTTATTTTTCTCAAAACAACAGCCACATTGAATGAAGTGTCTTTTACTGTCAGAAAGAAAATAGAACCATAAAATGAAAACTGTTCTTGGTAAGAACTGGAAATCTTGAATCTGTTAATTGGTACTTAAAATTCTTGTTTCCCTTAAATATTTAAGCCATCATGCCCGCAACACTGATTTTCTGTAAGGCTCATACCAAGCCTGCTTGGAAACATATTCTATTTTCTTTATTGAAACAAAAACAGGGTCGCTTGCTTTTCAAACCTGTGTTCCTCCTTGGACATGTATCTCACTTGCTTGCCTCTAGATTTCTTTGCTTGCCTATTTCCACTCCAGAGAAAACTGTGTTGTCTCTTGTACATAATCTTCTCTCTTTCCCTCCCCTCACATCTAAGTTTCAATAAAAACTCTTGCTACACTCACACACACACACACGCACACGCAAATAAAAATAGAAAAATATTAGGTTTTAGAATTCTGCATTTGGTCATCACAAAATGACTTGAGGCATTAGTGAAGCTGTTAAAAGAAAATGAATCAGGTAAAATTCTCACTTTCTATATCATGCTATAGAGAATAATGAAAGTGATAATGCTTACTTTTCTTTCAGTACAGAGAATATATATATATATTATATATTTTAATCAAAGAATAAACAAAAAGCCAAAGGAGCTGATTTTATCTCTTTTGCGCAGCTCTGACACAAGGTAAACCAAGTCAAATCATGCTTAGGACATTACTTTTAAGAGTCACATGCCCTGCTCACTGAGCTAGCTGTGCACTTAGAACATTGCTTTTAAATGTGTGTTAGAATTTTTTACAAAGATGGCACCGAAAGCCAAGAAGGAAGTCCTAGCCCCTCCCAAAGTTGAAGACAACGACAAAGCTTTGAAGGCTTAGAAGGGAATGCCAAAAAGCATCCATTGTCACAAAAAGATGACTGGTTAAAGAAACTTTGGTACATCTACACAATGGACTACTATGCAGCTGTCAGGAGAGATGAAGTCATGAACTTTGCTTATAAATGGATAGACATGGAGAGTATCATGCTAAGTGAAATGAGTCAGAAAGAGAGGGAAGGACTGCACTCATCTGTGGAGTATAAAACAACATAACATGAGGCTGACATGTAAGGATAGTAGATACATGGACTGGAAGATTGCTCCATAGCTGGAAGCCTGCCTCATGAGCAAAGGGGAGAAGGCAGCTGGACTAGAGAAGGGATCACTAAGAAAATGATGGCTTGAGAAACTGGTTGGGATGGGAGATATGTGCAGAAAGTAAATAAAGGACCAAACATAATAACCTCTCAGTGTCTGTATTGCAAACCATAATGCCCCCAAATAGAGAATATGAGGAATATTGGAAGAGAACAGTGCAGTCTCCTGCCCCCGTGCCTGGCTGTCCTCGCTGAGGCCCCTTGAAGGGGAGCGGGTTGAACTTTCCTCCCTGCCCCGACCAGGGCTCCAGCAGCCGAAGACCTCCAGGACCAACCACCACCATGCTGAGACCACTGTCCGCACACATGAAGGTACTGGCAGAGGGACAAAGCCACGCGGGTTCCGGGGCCGAGATCTCCAAGCCTACTCGGATTGGGGCCGAGCATCCTCCACCCAGATCCTCCAAATTCCAGCATTCGCGGCCGCGCGACATCTTATTATGACATCTTATTATCTCACTCCTACTTTGGACAAACTGGCAGGCTACCGAATGTAGCCTGCCCACACGGCAGAATCTGGCAAACTCCCCGTGGCGTACCCAATATGCCAAATACCAGTAACAATGATGGGTCTCATTCTCCTAAAGAGCCTTGAATATAATCTCAGGGCTTGGATGAAAGAGACATTACTGGGGCCTGCTTGAGGCAATCAACGAATAACAGGATGATTTGTGATTTGTGAGGAATATTGTCTGCCATGGAGGCAGGGGGATGGTGGGAAAGGGGGGGTATGCCGGGGATATTGGTGGTGGGGAATGTGCACTGGTGGAGGGATGGGTGTTTGTTCATTGTGTGATTGTAACCCAAACATGAAAGCTTGTAACTATCTCATGGTGATTCAATAAAATTAAAAAAAAAAAAGATGATCCACACATCACCCACCTTTGGAAGACCCAAAGCACTGTGACTGAGAAGGCAGCCCAAATATCTTTGGCAGAGCACCAAGGAGAAACAAGCTTGACCCTTATCTCATCATCAAGTCCCCTCTGACTACTGAGTCAGTCTTGAAGAAGGTAGAAAATAACAACACACTTGTGTTCATGGAAGATATCAAAGCCAACA